ACCCATTTCCTGCCTAATCAAGGAGAGTAATGAAGTAGACGTAAGCAAGGAAAGAGAAATGAGATGTGGCCCTGGACTATCAGACAGCATCTAATGTAGACAGCATCTAGTGTTGATATATGAGAATACAACAGGGGCGGGCTAGCAAATCCCATTACAGATGGTAGCTTGATGCTCTGCCCTCCTTTTAGATTGTATTCCTTCAAAAACAGAATGTACAAAATGTGCATCCATTCATACAGAATGGGCCCATGCAGGGCCAGTACAAAGTACAAAGGGTTCATGACGTCCCAGAAGCAGCCATAATCTATATGAGAGTGCACTGTAATGGGATTACTCCTCTGATCAGATGAATTCCAACCCAAATGTCAGCGCACAAATATGATTGTGTTAACAAGCTCATTAGAGCTGGAGCCATGTGAGGGGCGGACAGTGGCTCCCTGTGGATATAGCGTGCTGATACATACTGTAGGTAAAAGGGTTATAAAAGCATTTGTTTCTGCACATTCACAGCACTAACTGTGGCCTCTATTGGGAGGCTGCTGATTACAGTGGAGTATCAAATGTTACATATTTTATTGATTCCCCGTGTGGGACCTGTCAAACTGTCAGGAGCAGCGGACCACTTACAGCAACCAGGGATCCATCTCCAGATCTTGAGTTAGTCTTGGTCAAGACCTTAGCTGGAGGATTTTCCATGATGTGCATGTTTTAGGTTGGCAATTGAACCTAAAGAGCCTGGAGGAATCCACCCAGACACAGGCAGAGCCTGCAAACTCCACACAGACGCTGCTGACCAGGAGTTGAACCCCAGACTTTCTTGATGTGAAGCAAGTGTGCTCTTCACCCAGCCACGTGCCACCCCTTTGTCATTGTCATTGTCGTTGTTACATGCCGAAGAAAAAGAACTGAATAAAACCGTAATTGAGCATAATTAAAGTTTTTTCAAACATAAAAAGTGTCAAAGCCCCAAACATTTAGCTATTTGTTATGGAAACTGTCAGAAATAGGTCAAGTTGGTTAAAGAAGTGGATACAGCTGGAGCGTGCAGTGTCTCATTTGAAGTGTTGTCAGGGAAGTTGGTCAGGATCAGCTTACCCCCGAGCCTCAGCGCTCCTCTGTCAGCTTTGGTGTGAGAGAAGCTGTCCCACATGCTATGGGATAACCACACAGCACAGTGTTTATAGTGGGCACATCTCTGGACAGGGGTCAGGCTGTGACCCCATGTGACAGGTTAACGGGGTCTGTGCCACTTAAACAGCAGCAGGACTTTGAAGAGAACGGGATAATGGGCAGAGCGGCTGTAAACCTTTAACACTCGCTCAGTGTCAGGAACTGCCCCAGTGTTTGTCTACTTTAATTTTGTTCTCAGACTCGTTGCTTAATGCCTATGTTGCACTGTGTTTGATCTGTGTTATAATATTATTTCCCCACATCACAAAATGAATTGCTCCACTGTGTTTTTATGTGTCTTCATTAGAATCATTTGAATAATTTACAGCCCTGGAATTGCTTATCTTTGAAGTTACAACTATTGTTTTAGCCTCATTGAAATTACTTCAGTTCATGGTGAACCAGCAGATATCAGAGACTTTTTGTGATTATATTCAAAATAAAAGCAATCACTTACGTTTTACCTAAAGTATTGAATCCAAAAATGGAGGAACAGAGCACTTTTAGAGATGTAGACAACCTAATAATCCAGGATTACTCAAACATGTGTGATTGAAACAAAACATAACTCCAGGTATGTTTCTGTTAACATGGTAGTTGTTGTTACAATTACCAGGGCATCCACTCCAGCCTCTGAAAGTTGTGAAATGTGATTAAAACTCATGCAGTGAGTAATTGGATCAGTGTCAGTGAGGAACTTGCAAAATGTTTAAAATTAACTGCTTATGTTTTTAATGACAGTAAAAATCAGGTACAGAGTCTGTAACATGTTTTTAGAACAAAAAGCTATTTTCAAAAATTAGAAAAACAAAATTTTATCTGAAGGAGCAGAGCAAGTAGGCCCAGGCCCAGAGCAACTTCTGAGTATCAAAGGAGTGTAAAGACAATTAAGTGTCATTATTTTACTCACCTAAAACGCACCTGCAAACTATCTGAAATGAGGTTGTGTTGTAAATTTTTGCTTCCCTGTAGACCTGGACCTGGGTATAAGAAATACAAATGTTCAGTTTAATATTGTTAACATAAAGCTTTTGTTACATGTAGTAAGAATACTTTTACCTCAATCAAAATATTACTGAGTAGGATTTAAAGTATGCTAAATTAAATGTAGGCTACTAATTCTTTAAAAAGGTACTCAAGTAAAGTAAATGTAACTGAATACTAGCCACCTCTGGCTGCAACTGGTGATTCACAATAAAACAATGAAAATGTCAGTACTACATGTTTCACTTTTGGACTCATACTTACTACACAACCTTTTATAAGCCTCACAGGGAGTCTTATGTTGACGTAGTAGATGTATGAATGAATGAGCATCTATGGGCAGGGTTAGAGTAGTGTGGAGCAGACAGCAGCTGTGGGGGACTCCTGTATCCGCTACGGCTTGGGTTTCAGCCCCGCTCTGAGGAGGGAGGGGTCTACCTCTCAAACCGGGACAAACCATATTTCACCAGGTCCACCGCCGCAATCCTCCCCTGCGGATCTCACCAGCAGACGCCTAATGATGGAAAATGAACGCTCCAGTGCACGCCGATAAATGCCCCCAGTGACAACACCACACAAGTATTTACAGTCTCGGTCGGAGAGAGCATCGGCCCGCGTGAACTCCGCAGGATGAGGCCTGTGTGAGGGGGCACTGGGTTGCATGTGAGGAAGGCACCATGGTAACTTCCAGGATTGGTTAAAGGTCCTATGTTACACGGAAATGACTTCTGTGAGCTTTAAATAAATAAAATAAAATTAATAAAATAGCTTTGTTATTTCACTTTTTTGTTTACATAATTCCATATATCTTGATATCTTGAATCATATAGTTGATGTCTAATATGTTTATAAAACTTATGGTGGGGTTGTTATGATTATTTATTGCCTTTATAAACCCATCTTTGTCACTTCTTGGATAGCAATGCATATAGCTCCCGCAATAACACTGTTTGACTTGATGAAATAACTTTATATAACAAGGTAGACAACTAAAAATGTACAGTATACAATGCACCCATCCTGCTGCAGGGGTGAATAATTATTTTAAAAGGTTATTATTATTTAAAGGACAATATGTAACTATTCTGGCAGAGGGTGCACCATCTGTTTAAGTTTTTATTGATTTGTCTGAATGTCCCAGTGTATCGCATTTAAGTAATCTATTTTGCTTTTATTGCCAAGAAGTAATATTTCCATGGAGAGAAACAGCTGGCATTCCCTCCACAGGAAAAGATACATAGTGCACATTAAAGTTAATAAAGTAAGAAATTTTAAATACTTCTTATCCATTGCATGAGCTTTGGTTCAAGTGAATTTGCCCACTTAAACATTCATAAAGTTGTATTGTATCTTTAAATTATTAACTTGAAATTATTGCACAATATAATGTATGTATGGGAACAAATTCTCAAAACTTTAATGCTTGGATAGTTGCCTGACGTCATGGCAACGATGAGGAGTGGAGCATCTTAAAAAGGCAAATTAGCAGCACAGCTATTGTCAATATGCTTCTAACAGATAACTCCTAGTGAAGAGTTGAAATTAACCAATGAATATGAATCGTCTGACAAAGCCACAGGGTGCCCTGGTTTCAGTCACTGATGTACAGGATTTGGAATGTTTACCTTTGTTTGGGAGATGACCAAACCAACCTGGATCAGTTCAGCATCCAAGACTACTGCAGACTTACATTAGAGTGGCAAACAACATTTTCAATGGTTAAAAGTTTAAAACCGCATCTTTAAATCTTGAGGTAGAATCTTAGTCATTCTTTTGCTATCACAGCAACTAGCATGCTAAAAATGCACCAGTGTTACTTCCTGGTTCCCTGACAATAAAAACAATTTTACACACAATTAAACATAATTAGATGAAGACAGATCAAAGTGGTTTCCCTACCAGCTGCTGCACTGGGGCAAAACTCATTTTTGTTTATAAGACAAAACAATTTTTTGTTTATAAGACAAAAACAAACAAACAAACAAGAAACAGAGCATTTCCCTCCTTAAAGGGCCCATTTTACATTTCTTCCTCATGAAAAACATACCCAGGGTTCCATTCACACATGTTTAACAAACAAATTCTGCATATTTATGCTGAGTTCCCCTGTCAAACAGGAAACACTCCCTCCACCTTGTGACGTCATGTAAAAATACAGGAAGACCTCCACTGTGTTTTTAAACAGAACTCCAGCTATGTTTTTGATAAGATGACAAGATGTTAACATTGATTAATATTTAAATTCTCAATGTAGCCATCCTTTGCTTTGTTGACAGTGCTGCAAACCCTTGGCCTGCTCTAAATGAGTTTGATGATGAAGTCTTCTGAAATGGTTTTCACAGGTGTGCAATGTCAGGGTCAAGGAATGCCAAGAGTTTAAAACAGTGATCAAAGCAAATGGCAGCTATTTTTAAACTAAAACACGTTTTGAGTTATTTTTAGTGTAATTTTTGTTTACTACATTCCATATGTGTCGAGTCATTGTTTTGATGCCTTCAGTAAGAATCTACGACGCAATTAATCATGGAAATAAAGAATAAAAATACATGATAATGCATGTCCAATCTTTTGACCGATAATGTAAGTGTAGTGTAAGTACAAAAATCCTGGTAGTGACAACATACCAGACGCTAAATTTATCCCAAAGCGTGTGTGTGTAAAGCCTCTGTCAGCAGCAGGATTCATGAGGTGCAGGGGGAGCAGAGAGGGGGGTCCATCTGTCCACAGTCACTTGATCCTGGGAGTGTGTGCAGGCCTGGACTCCTCCCAGACATGAAGAAAACTGTGGCACCAGCAGCAGCAGTAGTCCACAACACGATCAGAACCCAGACCAGCCAGTCACCATGGAGATCCACGCTAGTCTGGCCCTCACCCTTCTCCTCACTTTACCTTACACCCAAGCCATCCACGGCCTATACAGCTTCGGACAGCATGATCTGTTCTACAAAAAGAACCACTGTAAGCCAATTCCCACCAGCCTGCTCCTCTGCCATGACATCGAATACACTGAAATGCGTCTTCCGAATCTTCTGGGACACGAGACCATGAATGAGGTGCTGCAGCAGGCTTCTTCCTGGATCCCGTTGGTCCAAAAGCAATGCCATCCGGACACGAGAAAGTTCCTCTGCTCCCTGTTTGCTCCGGTGTGCTTGGACGATCTGGATGAGCCCATTCAGCCGTGCAGGTCCCTGTGTGAGAGCGTGAGGAATGGCTGTGCGCCCGTCATGTCCGCCTTTGGGTTTCCTTGGCCCAAGATGCTGGAGTGTGAACGCTTTCCTCTAGATAATGATTTGTGTATTCCACCAGCCAGTCTAGGGACGGTTGTGCCTGCCACCAAAGAAGGTAGGCTAGAGATGTTTTAAACTATGGTTAATTTATGGTTGAAATTATTAGGGAAAATGGGGAAAATAATAACTTTTAATATGCAAATATATAGCTAATAGTACTTGTTATTATCATGTTAAAATTCCCATTGATATACTATATTTACACATTTCAATTGTGGTCATGAATGATGACAATAATTCAAAATTCATATTTGTAACTGAGGCTGCAATCGCAAAAATCTTGGATTAAACCTATAAATAAACCTGGACTAGACCAGCACTAAGCCAGGACTAAGAGAGGAATAAACAGGCCTAAAATTAGACACAAACTAGGACAAGTCTGAGTGGTCTGACTGCTAATTTGTTGATAAAATGATTGACTAGTTCTTATCATACCATTAGTGCATAGTGGGTGATAGTTTTATCATTCTGGTACAAGAGCAAATAAAAATGTAATAATTCGAGTTTCTCAAAAAAGCTTTTATGAACTGACAAAACTGTTGATTTTGTAGTAATAACTTTATTTTGAATAAAGCTGTATGTTTGATCTGTAGTTCCCAGAGTGTGCGATGCTTGCAAGGAAACGGACGAAAATGACAATGAGATTGTAGACAACCTGTGTAAAAATGACTTTGGTGAGTATCAAATTTGTATATTGATTTTTCAAGAGGTATAGGTATATTACTACTGAGCTAATTAATTTGTTGTATTATGCAGCAGGATGTGTAAAAAGTAGCATATAGTAGCAATATTTTTTTTTATCTAGAACAACCACAAGAATATTAGGAGCTATTTAAAGGTGCACTACAATTTTCTGGTGGGGTCCACCACCTGTTTGTCTCCATGGAGATATTATTGGTTTGGCTGGAATTTTCAACAGTATAACATTTGTAAGAGGCAACAACAACATATATATATAGTTTGGAGGACTCTTTTTTCAGTTTTTCATTATTTTCATTACTATTTTAAACCACTGGACTGTATACTAGTTACTGTATACTTTACTATGTAGGTTCTCAGTGAAAGCACCAAAACTGAATGGACACATATGGGATGTAGTAAACAAAAACTTAATTAATTTTGCTTCGACCACTACTTTACACTCTTGGCATTCTTCAACCTTGACAAGGCACATCTGTGAATGAAAACCATTTAAGGAGTCTTTATCATGAAGCTCATTGAGAGAAGGCTGGAGGATTACAGTGATGTCAACAAAGCAAAGGGTGGCTAGTTTGACGAATCTGAATATAAAAACACAAACTATTAAAGTAATTTTTTCCATATATCTTTAATCATATATTTGATGTCTTCTGTATGTATATAAATGTAGAAAGCTATAAACATAAAGAAAAAAATAATTGGGGAATAATGAGAGGGTGTGTCCAAACTTTCGACTGGGAGTAACTATGAGGACATATTTGAAAAATTTCTTCTCTGCCACCCCAGCTCTCAAGATCAAGGTGAAGGAGATCTCCTACATCAATGGGGACACCAAGATCGTCCCGGAGACCAAGAGTCGAACCATCTACAAAATGAACGGCGTGACAGAGAGGGACCTGCGTAAAACTGTGCTCTGGCTGCGTGATGGGCTGCAGTGCATCTGTGAGGAGATGAATGACATAAACGCTGCATACCTGGTCATGGGCCAGAAGATGGACGGGCATCTGGTCATCACTTCACTCAAACGCTGGCAGAAGGGGCAGCGCGAGTTCAAGAGGATCTCCCGCAGCATCCGAAAACTGCAGTGTTAGAGCAGATCAAAGGTCAAGTCAGAGGGGTACTTAGGGAAGATCATTTGATCAAATTTTGAATTTTAAATGCCGTGGAATTACTCACAGATGCATTTAACCAGTTGAAATACAGAATGAATAATTTTCATTCTTGTATTTCACTTTATTAAATAAAATGTTTAAAAATAACAATAAAAAAAATACTTTTAAATATTCAGCACATATATTTTGAGATCTATATTTGATATCTTTGATTCCTTAACTAAGCCCCGCCCATAGAAGAGAAAGATCAATAGGAAACAGGCTGCTTCTGTCCTCCTCAGTTGCACATAATCAATTGCGTATGCCTTGGCATCTTGGATCTTTGCTGCAAATTTTTTCACAGTGAATTTTACACTCTGAATTTGCGGGCTTGAAAATATATGTGCTGAATATATGTGCTGAATATTTAAGGTGTTGTAAACATATACTTAAAAATTCAATGTGAGAAATTCAGCGGCATTTAAAAATCAAAATCTGAACTCATTATCTTGCATAGGTACTTCAGGTCAGCAGTGCATTAGTAAGCTTAGGTTTATATTCATAGTTCAAACGCTTCATAGCCTGTTGCTGGAATGAAGAGAACTCAGTCAGGTTAATACGTGGTAACAAAGGAATAGTCTAATATTTCATAAGAATCTAAAAAGTCTATAAAAAAAACATTTTACCCAAAATTATATGCAAGTATGTGATATCCAGCTGTCCAGCTGTATAAAGCAGGGAACTGGGACAGAATGATGCTGTCTTGTTAAGAAGTAGTCCAAATGACCCATGTCAGCACAAAGCAATGTCTGAAAGAACAGACACATTTGGCCAGAGTGTCAGTTAGATTTTGTTACAGTTAGCAAACCATAAAAAACAATATTTAATGTTAGTAATGATCATCAAAAGTGCTGCATTCTGTCAAATGAGTCTCACAGAAAATCTTATTATGTAAGCCAGTGTTGTCATGATACTAAAATTTCAACCTCAGTTGTGGTACAAAAGAAATGACTCCATACTTGATGCTGATTACAGTAACACAGAGACAAAAATGCTCTCTTTTAAATAATAGAATGTAATGTTCAAATACAAATAATGGTCCTTTCTTCATGTTACCATGAGATTTTATACTAGTTCTGATAAAGCTCAAAATTTAAACTGTTCAGAAAAGCTTAAAAATTTTCTTTCTTTTTTTTTTTCCCCCTCAGTATCAGTACTTTTCAGTACTTTGAGAGCCCTGATGTAAGGTCCTGATAGGTGATTGGTCAGTGACCCATTTGATGTCCCATAGGGAAGTTTATACTTAGGTGAGTGAACCTTTTGAAGTGTGTCAAAGACAGTAATATTTTGTTTTTCTACCATTTTCTCCAACATGAGAGATAGCGGGCTATATTCTCTTTCTGTACAACGCTTAAATGACTATTTTCTTTGTGAGCATTTTGTACTTACACTGCATACTTTTCTACAAGGATATTTTTCTACTCCACTCTTTCAATTTCTTGTCATTGTTATGGTTGATTTTGATGATTTTTGTTGTTGTGGTTTAATAGTGAATACCAGACACCTTTGTTGATAGTAATGTTTTAATGAAACACAAATAATCAAGTGTGTGTAATATAAAGTATTTACTGTGTAAATATTATTATCGTATATTGTGTAAAGTTAATAAAAAGGACTAATGTGGGAGAGTTTATATGTTATTTGGGGGGAAATATGATCCTTTTGAGCCCCTATGGTTTATTTAGTGAGTAACTTATCAAATGAAACATATGAGATTGAACTAACTGTCAATAACATTTTTTATATGTTTTTAATTTGTTTTAGTTTGATACATTGATAGAAAACAGTATTGTTGGAAACGGGACTCTAACTTGAGACCAAAACCAGCCGATAATTTGAAAGTTAAAAAACGAAGTATTTGTTGCTAATTGGCGCCACCTAGCGTCAAATGTACTCAAATGCCTTGAGCAGACGCAGAACATGAAAAAACAGCCGAGCGCGTTTTCACACAAGACTTTGCTATACCAGTGTAAGGATGTATTGATGCATGTAGTTATTGCGGTAGTTCAAGCAGTTTTAGTAACAATAAACCATCAGTCTTATATTGCACATTTCTAAACGCTTAAAATCGATTTACAATTTTGTGCATTGTTCATTCACTCCATACTTGGTAAGCTATACTGTAGCCACAGGTGCCCTGGGGCAGACTGATGAAAGCAAGGCTGCCAGTATGCATCATCAGCCCCTTTGACCACCACCAACACTCTCACCACTTTCATACTTGGCAATGTGGGTAAAGTGCCTTGCTTAAGAACACAATGGCAATTTTTGCCACAACTGCCCCACTGTGGGACATGATATTCACTGCGCTCTCTCCCAACCAAGTACTAACTAGGCCAGCCCTGCTTAGCTTCTGAAATCTGACAAAATCAGATTTTGACAAGGAGGTAACAAAAATCAGTTCTCAAAAAAATTGTTTCTTTATTCGCACAAAAAGGACTGACTGTTCTTTTTTTTTCTTTTTCTTTTTTCTTTTTTTTTTTTTACCTTTACTTTGATGCCTTTAACTCTTTCTCATTAGGTTCCTTTGTGATTTGTTCTTTGACAGAAAAAAATATTTTTTTCAGTCATGGTACATTTAAAATACCCTGATCTCTGTGGGAAACCCTCATTCATTAAAGTCTGTGAGAATGAGGCCAAGCACAGTAAAAGCAGAGCTTCGGGAAATAGAATTCTGAAATTGAAACCAAAAGGTGCATATTGTGGCTTTGTTGAAAATTCTAAAATAGTCGTTCCTCAAAATGCATACCATAAAATGTCTGGGTTCAGTGAATGAGTATCTTTATGATTGTATAAGCTTGAGGCAATCAAAGCTATCCTTATTATAAACTATCTATTATCACATATCAGAATACATTAGGGCTGAATCATTTGTGAAAAATATCTAATTATGTTTTTGTTTTGTTTTTCATTGAAATTAGATGTTCAAAGAATTGACAAAAGGCCTGCTATATGAATGGACAAGTAACACAACTTACAAGAGAATTATATTTCAGTTCAAAGTTGTAGAGATCTATAGGGTTAGCAGTTTTTTAAGGCAGAAAGGGGAAATTTAGCTGTTTGTGGGGAAATTGTGGTACTTCAAAAATTGCAGCCTTTGTGATTTGCTAATGGTGCCTGTTGTAACTGAGATTTGATTCTATTAAGATTAATATAAAATCACATCCCCAAAATACATCATTGGCAAAACATCAGCATTAATAATAACATCAGTGCTACTTGTTTATAATTGCATACAGGCCTACATTGCTAGAACAGAGACCAAGTCTCCATTTGAATGCTGAAATGATCAAAATGAGGATATGCCACCTGCTGCTTTCCATGGAGTTGTTTTTGTTTGTCTGAAATGTTTCACAGAATGGCATAAAACTATCTTGGAAGCAAACAACAGATGTCTCCGGTTGTTAATGGTTAGAGGGCCTATTTGTAAAAATGTACATAAATTTCGTACTATAAGTGTACGTAGGAATGAACACAAACTTCCCCGGACTTGCTTCGTTCTGCCTCTTCTCAGCCCCAACAAGCCAAATTCCGATTTTTGTACATACATTTTCACATCAAGTTATCTTTTCATAGATCGCAAACTTGTAGGTCACAATCACAAATATTGACGTGTGATGATATATGCTGAAGAAAAAATTATATTGAATGCCATTATGTCACTGACACAATCACCCTAAAGCAGGACTTCCCCAAAAAACTATTCTTTATGTATTGTTAATGAACACGAGCTACAAGAAATAAAGGAAACACTTAATGAGTCACAGAGGTTATGTATTCAACCCTCTACATCTCAAATCTTTATAAAAGTACAAAAAAATAACAAAAAGTTCCCCTTTAGTACAAAAAGTACCCACAATATATACTGACCCTAAAAATAATTGTTCCATCTATCATGTACTGAACAGTAAACCAATATAGTATTTATCATGACAAACCTGGAAAGTCATGTTCATAACTTGTTTGTATGTACGCACATTTAAATAAGATCTGTGGAGAGGCGATCCTTCTCACAGTGAAAATGCTTTTTTCAAGATATGTTTTAGGAACAAAAACATCTGTAATTGATAAATGCACGATCAATGCCATTCCGGAAAAGACAATAAGAGATTCATGGAGACAGGCAGACTGTAGACTATCACCTGAAACATTTGAGAGAGCCCCAAAAGAAAATATGTTCTATTGATACTCTGCAGTGACATCACATGGACTGTTCAGCAGTTACCATAGTGACACAACGCACACAGTGGCAAACAGCCAAGTAACTTTTAAAATAGTATATATATATATATATATATATATATATATATATATATATATATATATATATATATATATATATATATATAATATATATATAAACTCCAGAAAAATACTAAATGGACTTAAACAGGAACTGGTGATGAATACAAGCGTTCCTGTTTAGGAGTTTGATTTTCCATAAAAAAGTGACACTGACTAACTGAAAAGCTGTTTGCCAATGCTAGCTACACTGAAACTGTAATTTTATGTCTGAGAGACTTGTTTGAGATCACAAATCATCTCACCTGTTGTGGTCATATTGTGTTAAACAGAGTAGTGCTTTCAGTTAGCTTCACACACCCAGGAAATGTAGCAGTAGATTATATCACCAGTATGGTGGGGACTTCAGGTCATGATTTGGACTCAGACTTGAGTCACTATTTTTAGGACTTGAGACTTGACTTGATAAAATGGACTAAGACTTGGGACTCGACTTGTACTCAAAGGTCAGTGACTTGGGGCTTGACTCGGACTTGAAGCCTGTGACTTGAGAAGCATTTTTAAATCTGAATTCTTTCTATTCCGCCTGTAATGATTCACACTAAAATCTTGTCAAAACATTTAAAAAGGAAGATTTTACATTTCTACAACTCTTATATACACTATAAATACTCATATATAAATATACTATGATTTTTTTAAAGTACAATTTAGTTTAAAAGTCATGAATTGCACAAATTTAAGCTATACTTGGTATTTTGGTTTAAAAAATTGAAATAACTTGAAGCTCAAAGCAGATGACTTGGACTTGACTTGGACTTATGGGCCAGTGACTTGAAATTTGACTTGGACTTGCTTGTATCTGACATGGGACTTGACTCGGACTTGCAGTCAAAGACTTGAGACTTATTTGAGACTTGCAAAACAACAACTTGGTCCCACCTCTGGTATGTAGAAATGATAATAATAACTGATCTGTTTGGGAGCTTTTGGGAAACCTTTGCATAATTTATTCACTCACCTCCCTCTTTGTGGTGGTAGTGCAACCTTTCTGACCTTCAATCACTCATTCTCACTCACTTTGAAACAAGGTGAATGAAGTATGAATCACTCGTAGAGAACGGTTCAGTAGTGGTAGTGATTTGGCAGTACTACATACATACCTGCATGACTCACCTGTTCCTAGCACAGGTGACTAATATTCAAATTATTCCGGGACATTTTTTCGTCCGTTTTGCTACAGTTTTACATGGGACTCCCCTGCAGCGAGCTATACCGGTGCAATTTAAGTTCACCCAGAACCCATTCACAAAATCGAAATTGCACATGAGAAAAATGTCAACATTAGTCAATTATTACAGTAACAAGTGCAGTGTTTCCCTATATTTCAGAAAGCAGAAATGTCCAAGTGGTCTGTTTATGAATCATATACTTGCACAACAGCACAGACAGGGATTATTGTGGTGTGGCCATAAATGTGCAATCCAGGCCTGAGTGACATCATGTGGTGCCTTCAATACAATGGGAAAAATGCATGCCGCCGGGATCAGAAGAGACAGAGGGCACTGTGCAAAGAGGAATTTGTAACGGCAATGCAAATACAGAAGAGATGAGGGGAACTATGAATGCCCTGTGAATAATTAAAGGAAAATTACAACATGTCTACTGGAACATATGAGAATAGTGAAACTTTTGATGTGGACTTGCTGACCTACTTCTTCCATGATAGATTTTATATGTTTTGTAATACATAAAACTAAATTTAGGCTAAAGAATTGATGAATATAATGGGCTATGTACAAGCTTTGGGGTTACATATAAGCTAGGCCAATATACAGCTCTTTTAACCATTATTGGTTATATAAACAGTAACAATCAATAAGATAATTACTAAAAATAGGAGTAGTGGTAGCCTAGTAGTACTAGTAGTAGTAGTAGTAGCAGAAGAAGAAATAGTGGTATGCTCCATTTGGTGATTGATTACTGATTACAGCCCATCAGCCCAAAAGAGAATATACATTAGAAAACTGCATTGACACATAACACTGCATGAAACCTTTTTAAGAAATTAACTTGATTTAACAAAACAAAAAACAAAAAAAAATGAATGACGTGCGTGCCCTGTGCAGTGCAGGTGTCACTGCCTTTGTTGAATCATGCAAAGTAAAACCAAGCACTGATGCAAATTCTGAAGTGTGTCTTTTTTTACCAACGCCCTTGAAGGCAGCACCAAGTTTCACTTTGAGCCTGTTTAAAGTAATAGCCTTCGTTTCTAAATTACTGTTTGGTGTCTACATTGGGGCGCTTATGCCAACAGACTTTAAACGAAGGAGTGTGTCAAAAGAGGATTAAAAAACACTTTAGCTCAAAATGGCGTCTGTCTGCCTATGTTTGAAAGCAGTTTGACGAGGCTGAAAAAGTCCGCGGGGAAGTTCCCTAGTAGGAAATCCCCGCGCTGTTCAAGGGGGATATTATTCGTGTCTGACTTGCCTCCTCCTCGGTTACATGTCACAAGACTAGACGACTATGAGGGACTGATTAAAAACACCTCAAACATTTTTGCCGTCAATTTTGACCAAACTCGTTAACCATGGACGCGGTTAGCTTGAGCACGGACACCGAGGTGTTACAGAGTAAACAGCGGAGTTACGACACGCTCAACACCTTGTACCACGAGACGCGACAGGAGATGGAGTTGCTAAATAAACAGCTTTATGTTAAGGATAACATCATAGCCGACCTGAAGACGAGGTTAGCCCGCTACGAGAGGACATACATGACCGTGGGCGATAACGAGCCGGTGGTCTTGGGTCCGTCCATGTCGTTGCTGGAGAACTTGTGTAAAGAAATCTGTAAACATAAACAAAAGAGGAGCGAGTTTGAACTTAAGACGACCAGACAAGCGGAGGTAAAGCTATATGAGTTGTCTGTATGGTGGGGATAAAAATGTAACATATTTATAAGGTTGGAAATTTGGGTGTAAAGTTGTGCGTAATAACGAGAGGCGCCGATGGTGCAGCAGGTCTGGGTGGTCCATTTAGCCTATTTGACCTGATCTAGTTTTGTACTCGACAAACATCTAGTTTTAAAGCAAATAAAACAATAAATATAAGTACAGTTATTATAATTAAAGTAATTATTGTTTGTTTTCGGTTTCATTGTTGTAAATGTTATTGTAAAGTAGAATGTTTATGTGCTTTAATAAAAAGTGTACTTCTAAATGCTGTGGATGCATAGCATTTAGATAGATAGTAAACTGCTTAAAATATTTTTTTCTTAGCAATATAAAGGTCAGTTGGATATATGAAATAATTCATCGCCATATGTAATAAATCCTTTTCTCTAGACTTTTGACAAATCTACACAGCATATGTACAAGTCGCTGGTCTAAAGTACTTACATTATAACTGTCCTAGTGCAGAATAAAGAATAGAATTTATAAGCCATTTGACTAGTTACGAAATACAAAAAGTAAATATGGCTCAAACTGTTATAGGCCTACTATTATGAGATACTGGGGGCACCGTCAACTTAAGGGTAATCAGCCCTAACCTGTCTAAGCATTTTCTATCATTGTGTCTCTGAGCAAGACTTTTCATTTGTATTGCTCACTTCACTCAAAGTATGTCTTGTTAGACTTATTAAAGTTATCCTTATTTAATCCCTTGTGAGGGAAATTCTAGGCTTGATCAGGAGTCAGGAATTACACATAGTTATTATCAAGATAATTATCAAAGGTTTTCAAAATTGCTATAACTCTTGTCCACCACCTTCTGTAGGAGATCCAGACCCTCACAGCAGAGCTCAAAGCGAAGGAGCAGGAGCTGGAGAACGTCCGGTGTGAGCCCGGACATGAAAAAGATCAGGAGATTCAGAGACTGCGCACAGCCCTGCAGGAGAAGGAGCAGTCAGAGGCTACCAGAGCAGTCCTGTGCACATCCTTAGCTGAGGAGGCCGACCAGCTCCGTGGACAGCTGGGGGCCACTGTCAAGGTGTGCAAGGAGCTCCTGGCACGCCTGGAGAGAGGCCAGGAGAGGGTCCAGGAGAGGGGTCAAGAGAGGAGCCTGGAGAGGAGCCTGGAGAGGAGCCAGGAGAGGAGCCAGGAGAGGAGCCAGGAGAGGGGGCTGGAGAACGAAGAGCCAGAGAAGGAGGAGGAGGGCAAGCAGCAGACAGAGGAGAGAGAGGTAGGTGATTGTGACTGTAAATGTATAAACACGGTATTCATGTGTTTGAGGCAAATGATTCCCTCTTGATTTGAAGGATTTTGTTAGGACCCATGCTAAAGATATTATATTTTGATTTGAATTGGTCAATTACTATAACAACAGAGGACCATTGCCATGCCACATCCTTCAAATGTGGAAGGAATCCTGCCTAAAACCCATGCCTAACTATGTTAAATGACTATTTCAACATGTATTCACTGTTTATATACTTCAGACACTAGTGGGGGATAGACAGACAGTTTACAGTCAACAACATATTTGTTTTGTATACTTAGGTTAAATTTGTTATTGCTAAAGTAGAATTATTTCAGGACAAATTCTACAGTAGAGAAACTGTATCAGTGATAAAAAGCTTCAGACATTCTAGTTTTTCAAGGAATGAATAAATATGTAAAACTTTAAACTTCTGTATCGGAATTTATTTTAGTTTAAAACTTTCAAAATGTTCGTATATTTTTAATGTGTTACAAATATATCAGCCTAATATATTGGCTTTGTGTTTCTTACAGAAGACAGACACCACAGAAGAGATAAAGCGACTTCGGCAGGAGAACCAACAGCTAAAGCAGCGCGTGGCTTATGTAAGAATGATATAACGATACATACTTCTATATAAACTGCATTAAACAAAAGTTGTACTAACTAACCTATACATCAACATCACCATTTAAACAGACTCTAAAGGGAATACAAGTAAAAATTGCTTTATAATAGTATTTGCATGGTTAAACTAAATAAAAAATATTGCTTTTATTAGGCAATATCTCAGTCAGTATCACCTGTTGTTAAGATTAAGTAAAAGCTCAAACATCAAGCTCTCAGTTAGTCCACTTACCCTGCATGTATCTTTTATACTATTATGTATCATCATTTCTAAAATATATTTCACAACGACTCACTCAAAAACAACAATATTCAATATCAGTCGGGCACTGAAGGGATTTAGTAGTTGTTTTTTTATCAGGATGGCTCCTATACTAGTACCTACTAGGGTTGCAACAAGTATTGAAAATCAGATACTAATCAGTACTAAAACTAGTATTGAAAATAGATATTAGATATCTAATATCTAAGATAGATATTCATATTCAAAATATCACATAACACAGCAGCAGCGGAGGCCATGTATTAGTTCTATAATGAATAATAATTTTATCACAGAAAGTATTAGTAGTAGTAGTTGTTGTAGTAATAGTCATATTAGACTTCCAAAATCATCAATGAAAGTAGTTGCCTGTAAACTACTCAGATTGGACTTTCACTTACTGTACAAAAGCTGTAAAAAAAAAAAATCATTCAAAAACGTGTCCATTGTGTGTTGCTGTAAGAGATAGAGGAAGAAGTTAGGATTGCACAGTCATCCCTGTATTAAACATTACCGTAATTTGTCCAACTGTAAATTTTGTGTACTAATATCGTTCAGTTAACTGTAATTTAACTCCAATACTAACTGAACTTAGATCTTCATTTGACCAAGTATCAGTACTAGAAAAGTCACTTTCGCAGCACAGAAATGAACCTTTTCTGAACAGCTTTAGAATGATGTTGAGATGTGCCAGAACAAAAACAAGAATAAGACCACATTTTTATTATCATTGTAGTTTTGGAATCTGTATCAGATCTATATGATGGTACTGACTGCTTAGTATCGAAAGTGAACTTGAAATTTTAGTATCATGACAACACTATTTTAAATAGAATCCTACCATGAAAACAAAATTGCTGTATTAATGAGCATATATTGTCATTCTTTTAGGTTCAAAGCCTAAACTCACAGTGGCAGAAGTATGATTCCAGTAGAGAGGACTATATTCGAGGCCTGTGCCAGAGGCTGAAGGAGAGTGCTGGCCAGGCTGTGGTACCAGGACTGGGCTCTGTTAGCTCCGCCATGCTCCACCAGGAGATTAGCCGCCTCAATGGTCTTCTGAAGGACAAGATCATGGAGAGTGTGAGACTGAGCAGGGAGATGGAGGACGCTAGGAGACAAGACAGAGAGAGGATACAGATGTTGGAGCAGCAGGTGGGTTTGGGAAAATAACAAAAGTTTTAGAGTGAAGACTTTTCACTACTCATCCAAGTGGCTTCTTCAGTTCTGGTCTTGTGCTGGTTGGACACTGCCTTATATCTGTCTGAGGGGAAACATTAACTACAACAGTTTCTCATTTTGTATAAACGTTTATGCAGATCTTATAACTATCAGATACTTGTTTTGTTGGTTTAGATTTCGGTCTGAGGATGGAGTTTTAAATGGGTGATAAATTATGTCTGAACTCTTGCCTCTCCCAACAAAAATAGCCTTCTCTCGCATACTACTATTTTTGGGGCAAAACTACGAAAAAATAAAATCAAACCAAAAGATGTGTTATAAGTTATATTTGGTTTGCTGTCCAGGTGTTGATCTACACAGAGGACTTTAAATCGGAGCGAGTTGACCGAGAGAGGGCACAAGGACAGATACAGGAAATGAAGGAGCAGATCCGACAGCTAAAACAGAAGCTGCACAAACAGGTAAGAGGCAATATCAGTTTTTAGCTAATTGAAAAACAGTGACCAGTATTTTCTGATGTTGATCATGACATAGAGTAGACATTAGTGTCACGATATTGAAGTTTCAAATTTGATTTTGATATTAAGGACTCATCTTGATACTAAATACCAATTCTGGTATCACAGTGATAATAAAACACACTTTTTCTTTAGATAATAAAATGTGTTTTTACATTAAATATAGTTATAATAATAGTTCTTCTATATTACCACGTGGTCTTATATCTATGTAATCCCTCAGTCGTCCAGATATGTTCCATAGTGATCCATGGGCATATATAATAGTCTGTGTGCTCTATGTGGTTTTATACTTGTTCTGATACAGCTCAAGATCATTCTAAAGCTATTCAGGAAAGTTTTATTTCTGTCCTGTGAATGTGACTTTTTTAGTATCAATACCTGCTCAGATGAGTAATTAGTTTCAATATTGATTAGTATGTTTTCTGGTACTTTTGACAACCCTAGTAGACACTGTGTTTGTGTTATAATTCATTATCAGTATTGTTTTATGAGCTAGTGTTACTTACTTTTACTTTTTGTTTTAGCTCAAAAAGTAAAACCAAGACTAAGACCAAAATTACCTAAGAAATCCGAACTGTTTTTTATTGGATTATAGTTAATTGCGTGACATTATTAGGCAATTACATTTTGTATTGAGGCTACTAGCTAATACTCTGAATGACCTTAGAGCTATAAGTATTCTGAATAAGAAAATACTGATGTATGTATGCACTACGTAACTTCTGGTGGGGAGTATCTTGCTTGAGTCTATGGAGATGTTATTGCTTTGGTTCAAATATTCCACAGTATGGCATTAAATCTGTCTTGCGTTTATTTCATGACAGGTGTTTTTGTTATCTCAATAATACCTTAAAAACTTGTATTCAGGCTATGACCAGGGTCACCTCTGCACAGATCTGACCTGTCCCTTATCCTGGCGGTGATATTAAAATTTAAATAATTGGGAATTCTGCAGAAATGCTATATGGATCCACTGTAATTTCTACTGTGCCATCTGTTTTTCTCTATGGAGATAGATAGATTAAGTTTAATGCCATATTGTGGAACATTCCTGGCAAAGTAATAACATAATCCCATGGCGTGCCTACCATCAGAAAAGTTACATAGTGCACCTTTGAAAATAATATTTGAGGGATATGTTTTGTATATAGGAAGCAGAAATAGGCAGTTGTGGAGACTAAGATGGTGGACAAAGTTTAGATTGAATACAGGAGACTATTTGCGTACAGCTGGTTACATGTCTTTCCTCTTGTTCTCAACAGGGGGCAGTAGCACGGGAGACCAGAGACAGAGACCGGGATATAGTTCCTCTTTGTCGGGTTCACATTGGACACCGAATGGCTCCGAGACGAACCAAAGACACTGAGCATCTGGTGAGGAACAATGCAGACAGACAGCAGCAGCAGCAGCCTCCCCCTGGTGCCACTGCTCCACAGAACTCACCCTGGACCTCAGACCAGTCCGAGCTCCGATGCCCACGCTGCCAGGCTCGATTCAGTGACACGGAGGCGGCGCAGTACTTTGACCACTGGGAAGAATGTGCCAGAATATGAGCAGGACTTTACTCAAACTACACACCTGAGAACAGTGAGGAAGTGCACTACGCAAACATACCCTACTCCTTATAACTGTGTGCCCTGCAGGCTTCCTTCCTACATTAATGTAGTGGATGGAGTGGAGGAGACATACACTCAAAAATTCTATTTTAGTCTATTTAAATATAACCTGTGTAGCACTCTGAATTGAGCTCTACATGTCCTTCTGGAACTGCTCTTGCTACAAAATAGTCTGTATTTCCAGTAAAACAGGTTTAGCATGTCTTGTGTGTTTGTGACTAATAATAAATACACATCTTAATGTAGTTATTTTTAAAACCAAGCCAGACAAAATATTTTGAATCGTTCTCATAGTATCAGTTGGAAATTATTCTGGTGTGGGATTAGAGGCTGTTATATTGAAATTGACACTCAACCAAAATACAGTAGGATTTTAACTTTTACAGATTTGTTTAAAGGGCCTATATTACGCTATTTTCTGATCTATGTTATAATGTTGTTTCCTCATCAGAAACATATTTGGAGTTTATTTCATTTAAGACACAAGCCCTGCATAAGGCTAACTCCACCTTGTGATGTCATGAGGTAGCACAGTGCTCCACTGTGGTTTTTAACTCCACACACCTTCACTAGATTTGGAGAATTTTAGTCTTGGAATTTCCAATCTCTATTGAACTAAAGGTAAAAGGCTGTTTAGCTGTAGCTGTTGAAAACTATCGCTTCATAACATCACAAGGTGGGACAGAGCATTTTGAGCTTTGGAGTAGACTACTAAAACTCAAACATGTGTGAATGAAACAAAACACAACTCCAGGGCATGGTTAAAAGCTCGCAAGAGTCAAATTCAAGTAATATAGGACTTTTAAGGACCAACAAAGACTGAGATTACAATTTATCACTTGTTTCAAAAGCTCATGAAACTGAAACCAGTATGGATTATCAAGTACAAAAAAAACTTTGATATCACCTAGATTGGTAGTATTAGTAATCACGACTTGGGAAAACAGGCTACACCCGATGCCTTAACACAAGTAACTTAATTAAGGCTGTATGTTCCACCATGATAAATCAAAGCCTTGAGTTGTTTGTACATAGTGTGCGGGGGAATGGGTGTGAATGCAATATACCAAATGTCATATACCTCATTGTTTCCTATTGCGACTCTTGCACTTTCAGTCACATTCAGCCATTGTACAGAGACTTAAAGTGCATACGGCAGGTGTCCTAATCATTACTTTGTCTGGTGGTGGGAGGCAAGTGGCTGTCTGTGAAGAGAAACTGAAAAAAAGTTGAAAATTATAGGAAGCAATTCTAAAAAGGAATCCCTCGATGTCGTCTATACACAGTATTCTATCCAAAATGCAGGAATAATTTACGCACAAAAAGCACATCTACTTACAGTTTAAATGTTTAATAATAGATCTGAAGGTGTTGTCATATATTTCATCAGACTAATCATCACTATGGTGTAAATTAGACGAGCTATGGCAGTAAGTTATGGATTTGCCTTTACACACTGCTGCCCATGTCCAACCAAGAAGTATAATTACAATTTTCATTAAAGTTGTCAACCTAGGAAAGAAATCTCAAAATATAATGATGACTATGTTTTAGTAAAATGAGTAGTCTAACCTGTCATATGCACTTTAAAAAATATAAGCTTCTACTTGTATGTATTGGGGTGCTATGTATATTTGATAACTTTTGTAAATTATATATATATTTTCATAACAGATTATATATTGTATTAATTATTTATTTAGCTTATTCTAAAATATTAACTTTATTTGTGATTGTTTACCTTTTCCTCTAAAGCCATATTACGTTGAAATTGTCAATATAACTGGAATATAAATATGTTAAGAAGAACTGACAGACTTCACTTAGTTCGAGTGGTATATATTTTTGTAATAAAACTGATTTATTTGCCAAGTCTTTGTTGTTGTGTTGAGTTTTAAATAGTTTTGGTTTGGTTTTAAATAGCGGTGTGATCAGTGGGTTGATTTCATTTACTTGAATACATTTTTAAGTAATTCTGCTTCTCTGAGTAGTTTTCAGAGAGCATACTTTTCCTACTCAAATGTTTATCTACGAAAGACTTGGGAGTTTGAGATTTAAGTATCATTGCTGTTTGTATTGCTGCACTTTGCTGGACAAAGATGTCCCCAGGCACAGGGAGAAACATGCAAACTCCACACAGAAAGGCCCACGCAACCCTGGGATTGAACCCGGAACTTTCTTGCTGTGAAGCCTGAGTGATAGTCACTGTATAATGTATTTCTTGAGATCTGTTGTAGCCACTCCTCCAGTTTGGGGGTCACTGGCCTTCACCTTCAGGCCCTCTCCAGCTCTTGTTTGAGCCAACCACCTTTAAATCACTTGGAAAACTGTGTTGGTATCAGAGGGACAACCCTAAAGTAGTCTTACACACACCCCCACACATACACACATGCACACACCTACACATGCACACATTTTTATACATACACATGTATAAGAGGATCCCATGCACCCACATCAGCTCAGAACCAGTTTCTCTTGATCATATGATGATCAGATTTCATTTCTACCATTCTTGGCTCTTTAGTAGGTCAAATCTCACATGATTCCCTGGCCTCACAGTCCAGCAATTTCCAACACAGTGTGAATGTGGTATTTGCATATCACAGTAGGGTGCTTCCAAAAGAGTGCCTACAATTCTTTGCTTCCTTTTTAGGTTTAAAAAGGTGCACTTCTTACTGTGGTGTAACCACACACATGTGCACGCACACATACACTGATACAGAGGCCTCAGCACAGGGGATAGTCCCTGTGTCACCCACACTAACACACTGAACATTCACCCACCAAATTCAAGCGGAACAGAGCTGTCACCCGCTCCTGATCCACCTGGGGACTTCAGATGACTCTCTCATCATCATGTGACCATGACCACTTAGTTCCTGTCTGCTTTTAAGTGCAAAAAGTTTGAGCTAAAACTACAAATCCAAGTAGTGCACACATTTGGGCCTTTAATCTTCTGTGTATCCAAAAAGAATGGGAATTTCCCGCCTTCCAGTGGGAAGTCCCAGAAAGAACAAGATAATAGTTGTTTGAAAGTGGAGTGCTGTTTACTTCCCAAAAGGGCTCCATAGTGCCACTGTTTGTGTGTGTGGTGTTAATGCTGAGAGATTGCCAATAACATCATTAGAGATATCCAAGGTTTAAGACGGTTTAAGGGGAAGAACAGAAGGTTAGAACAAGACAGAGGTTTAAGAGGGAATTCCCTTTGTGGATGAGTACCTGTTATCCCTGAGCCTGTAGGCTGACAATAGACTTACTCCAGTGTGTGATAAACCTGCAGGGCATGTGGTGTATTCTGTGGCATTACCCGACTCAGTGAGCTCATGTCATAGGGGTAGCACGAGCTAAAATGGGGCTAAAATGGGGCTAAAATGGGGCTAACATGAGGTCTGGGGCTGGGACAAAAATGCAGCAGGCAATACTGCAACATAATATACAGTATACAGTACTTGGAGTGTTGTAGCTTAGGGGCTACTTGAGACAAAAAAGTTTGGGGACCACTGTATGAGACTGCTTATATTTAGGTAAATGAATCTGTCTTTTCAATTTAAAGATTTAAAGAAACTGCAGCCTGTGCTCTTACAGTACTAACTTAACTGTACTAATTTAACCTGCACATAGAGAACACACAATTTTTTTTTCTCATTATCAGTATATGGAGAAGATCAGAACCTTCAGAATTCCCTCACTGAGCTGCAGAGGCTGCACTAGCACCAATTCATGATTGACTGTAGGTGCTGCAGGTGGTATTTACACCAAAAACACCAAATTATAACATAAATAAATGGGACATCATGCCCAGTGTTTTTCTATTTAAAAATAAATCAGCATTTACAATGTCAAAGATACAGATATGTATAGAGGTGTGCAGTAGCTTGCACTATTGGAAACCCCATTTTCTGGACGGTGTTTCCTCCTCCTACATGGACCACCAACTCTTCTGCCGTCAGTCTCATATTGCATCATTGAGGACATGCAGCCAGACAGTCATTCATATCATGAGTGAGTCCAGTCAGAAGAGCTGCTCTAGGCCAGAGGTGGGGACTTGAACTTGAGTCACTATTTTGAGGACCTGAGATTTCACTTGATAAAATGAACTAAGACTTGGAACTGGACTTAGACTTGAAGTATCTTGTGACTGAGGGAAGGATGGAGTGTAAGATTGTCAGGCAGATTGGTGCAGCATTTGCAGTGATGTGGTCAAATGTATGTTTCAAGCCTTATTAAAGGTCTTTGTAAAATTCATCCATCTAAATGATACACTGTATTAACCACTGGTCTGGTCCTCAGCTTTTAATATGTTTCAAGCTGTGGCGCTCAGTGAAAACATTTTGGACACCTCTGATTTAGACAATAGAAGTCATTTATAACATTAAATAATAGTACTTTCTTTTATATTGCCATGTGGCCTTATATCTGTGAAAGCTATCAGTCGTCCAGGTAGGTTCCACAGTGGTCCATGGGTGCATACTAGTCTATGTGGTCTTCTTCTGATATAGCTCAAGATAATTCTAAAGCAATTTAGGAAAGGTTAATTTCTGTCCTGTCCATGTTTTATTATCAATATCTGCTCAAATTAATATCTAGTTTTGATTTTAGTTTTAGTATCATTTAGTGCCTGATACTTGATACTACTACTTGAGTGCAATGTTTGACTACTTTTCACCTCTGATGAATGGTGAATATTTTGTGTCCTTATTTTACATAGACACTCAAATATAAAGTGAAAGTTAAGCATAAACTCATCTAGATATGCCCTACTTTAGTCTTGGGGGAACTACTGAATTTCATAACCTCCTCCTCTGTCTACTGGAGGGAAAGTTTTTCACATTTGAAAATGGGTTTAAGCGTACATGAATTAAGTCTGTAGTGGTGATAGGTGTGCAATTTGAATAATCACATTCTCAAGTGAAGTCCTAGTCGTTATAATCTATAGGCTAGCAGAGAGATCAAAAGTATATATACACGTATAATTGTCTAATGTGATAATCAGAAGTGGGTAGTGCTCAATTTCATTTACTTGAGTGACTTTTTAAAGAAATTGTACTTTTTTTAACAGCATTCTTTTACTACTAATTGAGTAACACTTATATTGAAGTAACAGTACTCTTACTCTACAAGTGACAAATGTTTTATGCTGACAATATTAAATGATTTGAACATTTGTGTTTCTTACATTGCTCCATTTAAATTTTTTTTTTTTTCAGCTTTCCTGCAAATTACATTAACTTCAAAATATAAATCAGATGTTATGTCCCAACAGTTACACTTTAAGTTAGTAAATACTATTTTACTTGAGTTATTTCTTGGACGTCAACTTTGTACATCTACTTGAGTAATATTTTGAAGTACTGCTACTTTTGAGTATGCCACTTCATCCAGTCTTTCATTAGTAATGGATGACAATACTAAGGATGGTCGTGGTATCAGCATTAATCATGTTGATATCATGATTAATTTTCAGCCTCATATTCTGCATACTGTTGTACTAGTATATTCTACAGTGTAATTAACCCTACTTCCAACTGAGCAACATCTATAATTATTATTTTGTAATTCTGTGATTTCATTGGTAAAGTCTGTGATTAATTCATCTCCAGATGTACTGAAACAGTTTAAAGAGGGGGTATTATGCAAAATGTACTTTTTTGGAGCTTTCTCATGTTATAACATTCCCTCATCAAAAACATGCCTGAAGAGGTTTTATATTAGTCATCACCCATGCATGTATCAGTAACTGTGCCACTCTTACAGTTAGCCATAAGATTATGTCCAATGCTCAGTCCACCAGTGCTCCTGGATGACAAATTTCAATCAATTTACAAAAGTATGATACAAAACAAACCTGATGTGATGTGAAATAGGTCCATTAGTGATATGCATGATGATTGTTAATATGTTGTTTTTGGAAAATAACCTTTCATTGATTTTAAAAGGGTAACATAGTGATCTAACTATTTTATGTGTTAGCAGTTAATACCCCATATTAGTGCAATACCCCCTCTTTAAACATCCAATTATTTAAACTGACAATATTTGTGTCATATTGTTATTTTAAAAGATTGTTATTTTAAATCTTAAGACCTTTTTGGGCCCAATGCAGACTCACCACTCACCACTCTAATCTAAGTGGTAGAAGCTAGTTCCCCATTTCCCATGTTAAGAGAAAAAAAAATATTGGACACAAGACACCTCCTGCCATACTACTGTATTCCATCTTTCAAAAAAGAAAGACAAGATTTAATATTACTTAACAATATGTTAAAAGTAGCCAGTTTGGCTTCAGTGTTAATACAATATACACTCTAGAACAGACTGATAGTGTGAGTATTCTGCTTTTTCAATTCATTCTCATACAAGCTGGCTACAGGTCAAAAAGAAAGAAAACAAGTGGAACTGGAACATTTTTACTCAACAGTTTGTTAAACAGAACTTAAAAACAAAACAAAAAAGAACATTGTCAAGTATTTTCCTCTTTCCTCCTGTGTGTGAAATGGGATGGTGCTATGGAGGGGGGAGGAGGGGAGGAGCAGCAGAGCCCCTGTCAGACCTGGTGAGGGGGCGTGCTGGGGGGCAGGTGCACCACGGGACAGTAAGCCACAGTGTCTCAAATACAGCTTTCATTTAGTACATCTTTTTTTAACGTTTCCATATTTGTCTTTTTTGGTGTGGAAACCTCTCTGACATTATAATATAAGCATCTGTTTGACTACAGGTAGAAATCATTTTCGACCATGGCTTGTTCAATCAGGTGAACTAAAAGCGCACAGAAGCACGCGGGGGGTTTTGTTGTGTTGGTGGGAGGTCTGGACGCGTGAGGGAAGCAAGGCAGCACGTGTGTGAGGAGTGGGCACAGAGGGGGTAGAGTCCAGGGGAGGGGGCGGAGTAATGTTCTGATTGTGACCCGCGACCTCAGTGAGCAGCGAACGTGGCCTTTTTCAAACTGAAGTTCGACCAGTTGATGGAAAGTCGTTGGCGTGTCTGTCGCGCAGAGTCCAAGCAGAACCTGAAGACAGAAACAAAAAGGATGACATCATTTGATCAGAGGATACTTTAAATATCAACTCACAAAGGACTTTCCCTATGTGAAAAAAAATCCCTCCTATGCATTATAAAACAGGTTAAAGGGCGTAATTCCTGGAGATTTTGTTTCACTGACACATTTTAACACACAAACCCTGCCTATTTAGGCTGGGTTCTTCAGTCATCCAGAACATAACACAGTTTCATCTTGTGATGTCATGTGGTAATACAGGATCATCAGGATCATGAATCATTTGGATAATTTCAGCCCTGGAATTGCCAATCTCAACTGAACTATGACACTTACTCAGATTTTCAAAAATAAAATAAATCCCACTTTTATGATTATTGACAAACATGACCATACATGTGTGAATTAAATCATATTTCAATTGTGTACTGTTGTGAGTGTACGTTAAATGCTCACAACACTCAATGAAAGATTAGGTCACATTATAACATGGCTTAAAGCCTACAAGAATCCATACTAGGGCCTTAAAGGTCACAAACTACCCCAATGACAATCTTATATAGGTCATTTTTATCTTTGATTTTATTGGCAAGCACCTTAAACACTTAATTCCTTAATTACGGTAAAAAGCCAAGAAATGAAAGCAACCTTTCTTATTCCAAGGCTACATCCAAAATGTTAAATGCTTTTGTATTAATTATGTTTCTATATATGTTTTTTATATTTTCTACAAGATAACACCAGCATATTAGTAGTCATTTATGCAGCCCTCATCCAACTGAACATGATAGGGCTCCATTTAGTTTATGTGATGTAATCGAAAACCAAACAATAACAAGGTCACCCCAGCCTACGTCGACACTGTCCCAATTACAACAGACACATTCACGGCATTGTAATCAGATCTTCAAGGAATGTGAAACAGTGTTAAATCACTATGACGTCAACTTCTTTAGAAAGAGGACAGCTTTAGTTTACTCTGAAAACATTGCGCATTTTTGTATTGTGAACATAAACAATACTCTACAACATACAAAATACAATACAAAAAATGCCTACCTTTTGAAATATTCAACCTCTCTCTCCGTCTCATCCATTTCAGTGCTGTCCAGGTCTATGTCTTTGGGCAGAAAAACATCATCTGGAAACAAAAATACAGAATTGTAAGAAACCATAATAATATGCTGTGTTTACTTGATTTTTTTAAGTAGGCATGACACAAAAACAAACTGTTAGTCACAAAGTTTTGCAGTATTTTTAACACTTGTAGCGAAGCCTAGTGCTAAAGAGGAAGCACCTGCAGAGTCATATGCTTACAGTCGCGGTTTGAACTTTTCACAGCGGTGAGTGGAAATAAATTTATGTTCCATGTAGAGTTTTGAGAGTTATGTAATTGGAAATAATTCTTTTTAGAAATGCCAATTGACTGGTCACAACAAGCTCAAATTAATATGATGAAACCTTAATCTGATTTTTGTACTATTTTTAATTTCACTGGCTACAAAAGTTTCCATGACTTGATTTCTTTTCACAGCCATTTAAAAAGGGTTGGCAGAGAAGCCAAAAATGAACTCACGCAAAAGTAAAGTTTAAATATTACTCAAGTAGAAGTACAAAGTTATGGTCCAAGAAAATACTCAAGATTAAAAACGTATTTGGGAAAATTTGGGGGTAACTTTAAGAGTAACTGTTGAGATGTTATAGGAGGGAGGAAGAGAAATTTGTCTTGCGCCAGTACAGATATATTGTAAAAGCAGCTCTTCATGTCAAAATGAGGCCACTGTGTGCTGTCTGCATTAAATTTTTGCGTTTTTATGGTCTGCGAATCAGGAAGTAATGCTCGTGTGCTGTTAGCATCCTAGTTGTTGTTAGCAGGCTAATGCAATTTGTGAAAAGTGCTTCTAAACTCATTGTGGTGAATAATTAGAATGCTAGGAAAACATTAGGAAAGTGAGGAATAACTATGTATGAAGTATAAACTATGTAGCTTAATAGTTTACAGCTGGAAGTCTCAGCAGAATTATGTGTTTCTGATAATTAAAAAGGTTATTTTGATCACATTTGTTTAGTTGGTTTAGTTTTCAACTAGTGAGAGCTGAAAGTTACCACGCTCATGTTTATACAAGAGTAGTTCTCTGTAAACTAATTTCACCCACCGATCGATGTATTGAGCTTGTCGCTCTTCTTCTTCTTGTTCTTCTTGCTCTTGGACTTGGGCTGTGGAGACTCTGCACTGGCTGGTTTCCCGTTCTGCTCTTGATGTGGGGGGGCTGGAGCAGGCGGTGGTGGGGAGGGGGAATGGTGATTCACGGGTGGGCTGCCCCGCTCCTCCTTCACCTGAACCACAGTCTGCTGTGGCCTCTTCCCACTGGCGCTTCTGTTGTTGGGTCTGACCTCCGCATTTGGGACCAGGGGAACTTCTAGGGGCCGGAGGCGGGGAGCTTTGGTGTCTGCAGGTGGAAAGGGGGTCCCATTGGTAAGCTTGGCCCCTGGTTCTGGGCTCTTCTTGGGTGCGGGCGTCTCGCTGGGAGTCGTCTTTGTCTGCTTGCTCTTGGTTTTCCCGTTCACCTCGATGTGTGGGGATGTGCTGTTGTGCAGGGTGGAGCTAAGCACTGTGGTGTCCATGCTGAGGGCCTTGTCGCTGGTGCGTTTAGGGCAGGGGGCTGTGGGAGGCGTGGGGAGTGTGGGGGGCATTGAGGTTGTAGAGGCTTTGGGCTCGGGCAGGCGGATGAGGCTCTGGAGCTGCAGGCTGTCAAGCACGTTCTGGGCAGTCTGTTTGAGGGGCTGGGGGTTGTTGTGCGTGGGGGCTGTGTTTTCCTTGGCCTTGTCTTTCTTCTTCTTCTTGACGGCTCGCTGGTGTTGGAGTTCCTGGAGGCGGAGCAGTTCTTTCTGAAGCGCTGCCTCTGTCTCTTCCTGTCTCTGCCGCTGCTCCTCCAGAAGCAGCTGCTGCTCCTCTCGCTCGCGTGCCTCTGCCTCCAGACGGGCCTTCTCCTCCAGCTGGGGAACACGACACATGCTTAGATTTTATACACAAATATATACAATATGGTCTGTGATGGGGTGGTGTATAGGTCATCAGTTATCTAGATATTGGTAAGTAGTTCACTACAGTACCTACCTGGATGACACAGATATAAGGCCACACAGCCACACAGTTTGAAATTTTTGCATTATGACGCTAAAGCATTAATGTCGACTTATACAACTGACGATTAGGGTCCCGTACCTTCTTCTGCTTGTGCCGGGCTCTCTTGGCGGCCTTAGAGCTGGACGGAGGTTTACTGTCTGCACTGTTGATAAACTGCAGCAGGTCCTCCACCCGCCTGTGGTCCTCCACCCCTCCGTCTCTGTCCAGCACCGGCGCCTGCTCCTCACGCTTTGGCTGCTCCTCTTTACGCTTGGTTAGCCGCAGACGCAACTTCTCTCGCATTTCTGCATAGTTTCTACTGGTGGGAGCAGCTGGGGGCTAAGAGAGGAAATATGCAATTACAAATGTATCCAAGGACACATTTTATGCTTTAACCCAGCATATATTAGCAATGATATTTCATATTTTGTGGATGTGTCTTAAAAGTCCTATACTACGCAAAATTCACTTTGTGAGCTTCAAACCATGTCGTTAATGATATTAGCTACACCTCCAAAGCTCAAAATGCCCGTTCTGCCACGTAATGTCATGAGGAGGGGGTTTTCAAATTAACAGATACCTTTTAGATTTTCTTTAGCAAAGACTGTCAATTCCAGGCCTGAAATTATCAAAATTATTCTAGTGAAGATGTATGACGTTTAAAACATAGTGGTGCACTTCTTGTCTAACCACATGGCATCACAAGAAGAAACTGAGTGTTTCTGTCTGAGAGAAAAACTCTAAATAAGCCTAAAACCCTAAATATGCAGAATTTGTGTGTTAAAGATGAGTGAATAAAAAAAAACACATCTTTTCAATGAAGAAACAGCATTACAGCATAGAGCAGAATATGTCCTTTAAACAGTATTTCTTCAATTGCTTTTTTTTTTTTTATATAACAAAACAATATAGTTGAAATCTAAATAGAAAAAGCATGAACACTAAATGAATCTCTCACCCCTCCGTGTCCAAAGAACTCGCAGTAGCAGCAGTCGCAGTACTTCCCTTCCTTCTGGTTGGTGGAGGTGGAGGTAGAGGAGCTGTGTTCGGAGCAGCTGTCTTCATCCTGGCTCTCCTCTCCGTCATACGGCTGGTGCTCGTAAGCCCCGTTACCCTCACAGCGATGGCCCTCGCATTCAGGATCACTGAAAGGACAATTCATTTAAACAAATACATATTTATTTATATAAATACTATTAATATAAAACAAATATATGCTGCATTGTACCCAGAAATAAAGAAGAAATATACATAAAAAAGTGTGTCCAAACTTTTGACTGCTAGTGTGCTAAATGTTAAGTGCACACCTTTTCTGTCAGGCAGTTTTTTTTTTTTTATATATACCAGATGCCCTTCCTGTTGCAACCAGACACATTTTTGTAATTGGCAGGGACAATGTCAGTCTTACTCAGGAGAGATTTGAACTGGCTTACTAACTGTGTCACTGACATTTTTTAAGGAGATAAAAAACAAAATATTTGTAGCATAACAACAGCTTTGATGATGATAATCTGGCTGGGATATAGAGGAACAATCCATTATTACCAATTACTAATATGATGAATGATGAATATGAAAAAAAAAAAAGGAAGCAAAGCCCTTTACAAACAGCACAACCAGGTGACCACACTGGATGCTGTCCCTGGCTCTTCTCCTGCTCTGTACAGTACAAACATGTCATAAAGTCTGCTGTACTTCAGTATTTTTTTATTTGAACATAAGAGGAGCAAGTCCGTGTGTGAAGGATTGAGAACGTATCAGTGCAGCGACTATCAACTCAAAACTATTGCAAAACTTCTCGCTTGCAGCAATATTGACACACATGGTGGAAAACATAAAGCTTTAACACCCTCTACTGGTACACGAGGCGACCACAGACAGCTGCTCCTGTTCGGGACAAACAGCTGACTGACCCGCACTCATCACTAGGGCCCGGGAAGTATCACCTCTGGGTGGAAAAGATGGGCCATGTTAGAGTCCGTCTGAACAGCACTGGCTCAAAAATAGAGTTTCCAATGCATCCGTGTTAGGTAGAGTTTTTTGGGCATGTCTTACCTGCAGACACTGGGTGGGGTGCTGCCGGGCCCATCTGTGGAGGACACTGGCGGTTCACTGGGTGGGAGACACAGGCCATGGTGTGCCTCGCTGAAGTCTGGGGCCGGGGCAGCCATCTTGGGAAAGGCAGGAGGTGCCATTGTGGGAAGGTGTGAGGTTGGGGCTGGGAGCAGGGTGGGGCCTGACAGCGAGGGGAGAGAGCCCAGGCCTGTGGAGGTGCCTCTGGGACTGGAACAGGGAGGTCTGTGGTCCTCTTTACTCAAACTGTGAAAGACATCATCTGGGGAAGGGAAGGGTGAGATAAGAGATTCAACATTTAATTTTTCACTTAAAAAAAAAAATTATTCATCAAAGAAAGCACCTATGTTTTGTATTCTGTTATATTGTAGTAGTATTTTTAAATACTATCTTATTCAGATACCTTGGGTGCAATTTTGGCACTAGGACAACAAATATTTGAATCATGTAAATGAAGCAATTTATTACTTTTGAATAGGAAAGCAACATAACCTAGTACGGCACCGCACACTTCAAACTGCTTTGTAGTCTGTATCGAACATATATGTGGTCAAGACTGGCAGCCCCATGCAAAATAATACAACCCAAATCACAATGGCAGCGCCCACAGCAACTTTGGCAATAAGGTAAATAAAATGATTTTTCTGTTCAGATGCTATTCGTAAAAACACCATGTACTTACTGGACTGGACAGTGGTGGCAGTGCAGGACACGGAGGATGTGGAGGCGGAGGTTGCCATGACGACCCGGCTGGACTCCATGAAGGCATCCTGGAAGTTGTAGAGACACTTCTTCTTGGCGCCGCTCTTCTTCTGCTCTTTGGCGTCTGTCGAGGAGCACGACGAGGATGAGGAGGACGAGGACACGGAGGAGGAAGGAGGGGTGGGGAGAGAGCAGTGGTCTGGCTGGGGGCCGAGAGGTGAGGCTGGGGGGAGGGGGATGTCAGCCATGGGTGGTCCCAGCATGTCACCTATGGGGGTATCAACAAATTCTTTCAATAAACTTATTTTATATCTTTTATTTTATCGAGATAGAACAGTTTATAGTAAGCTTTTTGGAACATGCATAACAGATGTATTAGGACTAAATACCTAAATATTTTTTATATTTCATATTCAAATTCAAAGTAGTCACTCTTTACTTTGTTGCCAGGGCTCCAAATCACGACCTTCTCGATGACATCTCCTTTTTCATTTCATTTCATTTATGGTTTTCACTTCATGCCTGACAAGGCACCAGCATGATTTTTACAAGTTTTTTTGTTAGTGAATGTTGTTGTTACCATAGAAATCATTTAAAAAAAACAAGTCATTTTCATTCAAAAGTTACAGAAAATGTGTCTTTCTTTAGCTATATTTTTGTGTTGTGCCACAAGGTTCTGCCCTTTACCCAATACTGTTTATGTGTTTCCACTCCAAGAGAAGTAATATGTTGTTCTTTGTTTGACATCATTAGTTAAATATTTTAAGATAGGAAGCTATTGTTTCCTTGGTTCAAGTACAAACTATGCCTCCCATTTAAATGTACACTACCGCTTGGTGTCATCACAAGGTGGAACAGAGCATTTTGAGCTGTGGAGCTGCAGACAAACTAATAATAAAGGATTTCTAAACCATGTGTGAATGAAACAACAGGAAATGAGGTAACAACATTACAACATGGCTTAAAGCTCATACGAATCAGTGTTGTATAACATAGGACTTTTAAATGCTCAGAGTTATCCAGATAAATTCACATGGACTTGAAATGTATTTAATCCGATATTTAAGCACAATTTATTGAATTGACCTGGTAAAGAGTCGGGCAGCAGCACAGAGGGGTTCCAACTCTTCATGACAGCAGCGTCCCACAGATTCTCAAACTTAAGAGAGAGGCATTGGAGTGAGCTGTTCCAGTCCCCTGTGCCCCCCGGCGCGCTGAAGCAGTTTGGGTACACGTGCTCCGGTAAGGATGGACTGAAGGCGGGCTGTTTCGCTGCCGAGTGACTGGATGTTGGGGTGGGAGGAATGGGCTAGATAAAATAAAGATGGAAAGAGTAATTTTTCATATGCAGTTGCTCAAATATTTTGAACATGTTTGGAATACTGAATGAGTATTACGCTAACCATACTTAGAGAGTTTTTATATACTGCATCATTCATTCACCTGTGGTTGTCTGAAGTTACAAAACATAGCTGCTCTAGACCAAATGACTGACTATGCAAAACAGTCATCTCATAATTAAAATAGAAGGTTAAAAATGGTCACTGGTTAAATCCACCAGTCATTCACTCGAGCTGACCAGTAAGAGTAGTAAAAAAGACATTTTGTGCTTTTGTCTATTATATGGTTATAATCTACGACACTAGTGAATAATTGTTATAATTTGGACATTTAAAATTTCCACATTGATCTAATACAACTTAATAACAGAAATAAGTCCACTGACTTCCATGCCCAATGGGAGCTGACGTCACTGTAAATGTCATCACAACAAGCTGCACAGCTGTTGGCATATCCTATGGATAGCTGCAGATCATGCTACTGAGTAGTAGATTTTTTCCAAAATAACTATGTGACATTTCCTAATCCTATGAATCCTAAAATAAAACAAAACTAGAACACAGCAGCGGGCATATACTGGTGGCATGAACAACGGACGATCAAAGCAATGACATCTTCAATACAGTATAAAGATTACGCAAACGTGCATGAATCACACATAAATACAACTTTGAGTTGGTAAATGAAGGGGAAACAACTACAACATTGTTAAAAGCTATAAAAAGTCAGTTTGCATAATAGGTCAGCTTTAAGTAGATCCAATAGATGTCACAGGATCAGCTGTCATCTGTCAACTACATTTTTTTTCTTGTCATATCGCCGAGCCCCAGCTCTGACTATGCACTAATCTCTTGCACATTCATGCGTAGAAAAGGTTGGAAGTGTCTTGCTCAAGAATATACAACAGGATCTACTGGTCAGATATGCAATAAATGTTATCTACCATTTTTCCCCAATTGGAAAAACATTACTCTGACAAAAAATACCAACATGACGTAAGAGGAAATGTGAAAAAAGTTTGTTAATTACCATTCAGAAATGTACCACTTGGGGATTGTGGGGGGGGGTTTCTAAGAGGGGTGTGACCAGACTATGAAAGGATCTCTACTTTCATTATAATTTAAAATATGTTGCAAGAGTTTTGGTAGAGCTAGGTAATCTCCCAAAAAGGTCATGATCACAGGAATGCAAATCTACCAGTCATTTCCTGAACATACAAAGCTGTACAAATAATGAATGAAGAATATCACAGACTATTCATAATTTTCCTGATTGTACAATTTGTTAGGCCTAATGCTACCATGTTAATATTTGTTTTATTTTTGACATATAGTTAGACCATATTAATGTAGACTCATAGAGCATATATGACCTCTGGTGGAAAACATGTCAAACTACAGCATGAATGAGTAAATCAGAACAGAACATAACATGTGATTCTCATTTCAGCAGAAAACAAACTTTTTTTTTGTGCTCACCTTGTTGTGTGAAAGTGGCGGGCTGGGCGGGTACATGGTGGGGTGCAGTAAAGGCCGGGGGAAGTTGTGAAGGGGCAGATGACCGTGGATGTGGGGGTATAGGTGTAGGGCAGGGTGGGTGGGGGGCGTCTTGGGGTCTGTGAAGAACTGGTGTCCCACTGTGGGAGGGGGAGCAGGGGGGGCACTGTGGAGGCGGCCAGGGGGGGAGGCAGGAGGCGGGGCCCACCGTGGTAGAACCAGGGTCCTGAGTGCAAACGTGGCACTCACAAGCATGCTGTACCGGTGCTACCTGGAGGTTCAATAATATGTGCATTGTACATTAACGGTGCACTATGCAACATGAAAAGCTAAATAAATAATTTAAATTAGCAAGTGACTACTATTTTGTAATTATTTAATTGATCTTGCATCAAAATGCAAATATACAAAAACATAAAAATGGCCATGTTAACTGAAAAAGTATGCAGCCTTTTTAATTTTGGTCATAGTAATTCTGTACAGATATTTCCAAAACACAACTATACTGTATAATTTCTATGAGACATTTAGTCATACCTGCTGCTGATGACTGTATGAAGGTGGGGGGCTGTGAATTTTGCCTAGCTCCCTCTGCTGCCCTGGAGGCTCCCCACCATCGGCCTCCTCCTCATCCCCCTCTGACGAACTGCTGCTGCTGGTTAAGTGAGGAGACTGTGGACCGAAAACAATCAGAATCAGAAATATAGTTGCAAGCAGCAATGATCGGCCGTCGGAGCACTCATCATCCCTCCTTGCCATTATAATGTTCGATTTGCGCACTACTTATTTGTGTGCAGGTGACATACATGACTTGATTTGTGTCTCAGGTGAGTGTTTGTGCTTCTCGCTTGATTCGTAAGTGGCCATGCTTTGCGTGGCTTTACAACCCTTTACCAGCTTGTGGCCCTCGGACCTAATGACTTTGCAATTGTCAATAATAACTAGGAACTTTGGCATTATGGTGCACCATAAAACAAAGAACAATATAAGAAATGGAACAAGGAAACATTAGCACATATTTGCACATGATCACAACATAAGGAACCAAGAAAAGGAAATTCATGACTAATCTTGAATTACCCGAAAAGGCTTGTCAAAAGTATCAAAAATCAGATACTGAAAGTAGTATCGAACTAAATACTCATTAGTATTGATACAAAACATTTTACAATCACAGAAATGAATCTTTCCTGAATAGCTTTATAATGATCTTGAGCTGTACCAGAACAAGTACAAGACCAGATTCCACTCCACTTGACTCCACTTGAGTTTAAAATTTTTGTATTTTAACAGCAGTACTCACCACAGTCTTTAGCGTCTTTTCTCCTTCCCCGTTCAGCTCATGGTGAAGCCCATTCACAGACCTCACAACGCTGCCGTCCTCATAACCGCTCAAAGGGTAGATGTCCCCGAATTTACTGGACAAGGGGAGCACTTCATAATCATCGCTAATACTAAAAAAGAAATAAATTAAATAACTTTTTTTTTAAATGGCCTAGAGTTATTAGGACTTACAATGTGTTGGGATCTCCATCTGGGAGGATGAGCCGTGGGTGTTGCTGGATGGTGATGGGGGAGCTGGAGTTGGATCCGGAGGCTGAGCTGCCGGAGGAGAGACTGGGGGGGTGCACCTCAGACAGGTAGTCCCGTGGAGGCTCTCCCTGCAGTGGCAGCTTGATGTGCAGGTCCTCTGCGATGGGGGAGTCCATGATGCCACAGGTCAGGATGTGGGAGAGGCTGCAGTCATCACACGTACACCTGGAGAAATTATCAGGATTATGGATCGTTTTTACAAGTACACTACCAGTCGAAACTTTGGATACACCATCTCATTCAAAGTTTTTTTTCCCTTTAAGTTAACTACCTTAATATATTTACAATTAGGGGTGTCAAATTATCGCGTTAATTGTGATTAATTAATTACAGTCATATTTAGCGCGTTATGTTTTTTAATCGCGTTAATCTCATTTTTAATCTCTAACTTTAGTGTTTCTGTATGCGAGTTGCTTTATTATAAACCTGTTTTTATGTGTTATTGGGACAACAACAACAACACACACACACACACAAAAAACACATTTATAATTTTTTTTATTTCGGTAATTCCACTCATTGCCGGAAACCCACAAAAAAACGCGCGCAGTAAGAGCGACGTAAACGTCATGTTCACGTTTGCGGCGTCAGTCGCACAATTGACGAGGTCGAACAGCCAGTAGAACAGAGGCAGCAGTGCACAGGTAAAAACACATTCGTGTCTTGGAAATTATTCTCCCGACGTGAAATATAAAAGAAAATAACAAATATAAAATCGCCTACAACTTAAATGTCACTGGTGAAAACAACCTGCATAGGCTCATGATGTCTGCACTACTGTCCTATAGTGACCTGCCACATGAGGGGACACGCACACAAACACAAACACACACAAACACACACCTTCATCATCGTCATCAACCTGAGAACGCGCGGACCACGTTTCCTTCCGTAGTTACTGCGCGGACACCGACATGCTCCCGTGAGCCGCGTGTGGATCGTGTTTTCTCGCGTACGCGGCGTAAACCGCGCTTCCTCCTGTGCGCCTCTAAACCAGAACTAACACCAAGACTAAAACCAGGACTAATCCAGTCCAGGACTAAACCAGGACTAAACCAGAACTAAAACCAGAACTAAAACCAAAACTAAAACCAGAACTAAAACCAGGTCTAAACCAGGACTAAACCAGGACTAAACCAGGACTAAACCAGGACTAAACCAGCACTAAACCAGCACTAAACCAGAAATAACACCAGGACTAAAACCAGGATTAATCCATTCCAGGACTAAACTAGGACTAAAGTAGGACTAAAGCAGGTCTAAACCAGGACTAAAACAAGGACTAAAACCAGTGATCTCATATATAAAGCATTTCTCTATCAATAATATTTTTAATATGGTTAAGGAAAGACTGGACTTTTTATTGTCTTTAAGTAGACAAAAGTTATTATGTTCAGATTTCCTCGTCTTTGCTACTTTACAACAAACAGTTTCTTATTCATGGAGACTTGGGCTCAACAACCAATTTGAAGAGATTTCTTAAACAATAAATGACTTTATAAAGTCACTTTTTTTTGTTCTATATCAGTCTTTTGATCTGCCACAATAATGTAATAATGAATTTAAATGAAAATACCTCAAATTGAAGGCTTTTCTCAGCAATTTTTAGGTGAGATTAAAATGAGATTAATTAGATTAATTAATTACAGATCATAATTAATTAATCTCTCAATTTTTTTAATCGCATGACAGCACTATTTACAATACGTATAAAATGTAGAAAGTTTACTTCAATTTCTGAAGCAATTATTTTACTGTATCAGAATCTTAACTTAAATAGTCAAGTTTATACATATCTTATTATTTGTACCTTCTACGATAGTTGCAGTTTGGGCAGTCAGGAATACTTAAACGTGAAGAGAGCATTCTCATAGTGTCTGTAAAGTTGTCTCCAGAGTTGGACTTTTTATTAGGCATCTGTGAGAAAGACACATTAGACACAATGATATGCCCAGTTACACTTAACTGGAGTTCTCCGCTCTATACCTGCTCCTCTAAAAATCTTCTCTGCTTGAAAAACTCCCAGTCCTCCTTTAGCATCCGCTGCTTGGCCTTTAAGGTCTAAATGGAAGAATGGCACAACAACTTCATGAAAAACTAAAAAACTAAAAAGAAGTAATATTGTTTTGAAAATCTTACATTTTTGCTAACCAGGGATTTATGAGGTTCGGTTCTTTGGTAAGTAAGACTCTGGCCCTCAACCTTAAAAAGAAGCTGCAAAAAAGTACACATTGAACAACAAAATTATTTACAATGGCATCCATAGTGTGTCCAAAGTGGCTTTACACAATTTCTGAAAAAGAGATTGCAGTCGTTTTGAGGCTAACAGAGCATGGACCTATGGTTATAACTGACAAAGTACAAGAGCGAGGTTGAGGTAAGAAGTTAGGTTAGGCTAAGTTAGCGTTGGCTATAACCGGCAGTTAATAGAACGTTAAGGCCGCCACACACTGTGTAGAGTAAAACGACTCTCTTTGAGACTTTTAAGTGTTCAAAAGATCAGTTAGATACAAGACAAACTGTGTTTTTATTATTTGTGAAATGTGGTGCAATATTTCAGATACATGATTTTCAAAGGATAAAAAGTTGGTAATAAAGTACACAGGAAGTAGAGTCACTTTTACTACAGACACATGTGTGGAGCTACTCCACTAATACTCTACTAATTTTGAACCTCTGTAAACTGTTTAAACAAAACTAGAAGTGCTTTTTTCATGTTTATAAGACACTCAAAATCGGGTACACTGCCTCTAACCTACAGTCAGATGGTGCATTTTTTGCCTACCTGTTCATCTACATAGTCGTCTATCCTCTTCTCACACTCTTGCCACTGTGCCGCCACAGACGTCATCTCCTGCTGCAGCTGCTGGTACCTCTCCAACAGGGCCCTGTACATGTCCTCACTGTAAGAGTCGTGAGAAGCTGTGCCATGCCTATAAGAAAGTAGTTTTGTTTTTTTTGTTTTTTTTAACAAAAGAAATTACAAACATTTGAAAAATGTTCATTCATTTACTTCCATATGATCAGCATTCATTCATTCTTTCATAGCATTCATCCTCACACATTCTTACATTATAATACTTGTGTAAATACATAATATTTGCATTTTTGTAACACATGAAGAACTATAATTACTAGTATTATATTATTTCAATCACTCATACATGCCATGTTTTTGAAGGTTCTTTTAGGCCAGTTTCATTACTCGTGGCAGATGGTGCTGGAGAAATTGCAACTACCACCATCTGACTGATGAGTAACTGAACAATGGATATCTGGATGTATCGAGAAACTTACTCAGCTTTCAGGCAAGTCCATATATAAAGATGACTCAACATTTATCTTTGAGATTATTTGTTATGTTAAAAGGATTGTATGTAACATTCTGATTTTAAACTTTATAAACATGACCCATGAGATCAACATGTTAAAATCAATTCTAACGCTGATTTATTGGACATGATTGCCAAATTGTTATTTTTTGGGGCATTTTGCTTATATGGGGTATTATCTGCTAACACGCAACATATTTGGATCACCATGTTTTGAAAATGCTATGTTAGCTGAAAACAATATTAACATGTGTAATAAGTTTTTGTTTTGTTTTTTTCACTCCGAGTCTAACCTTCATCAGAACAGGACCGAGGAAAGATTGCTAAATTACTCAAAAAGGCATGGATGACATCTAAAACCTCTTCTTTTAATGTTTTTGATGAGGGAACATTATAACATGGTAAAAAGCTCAAAAAAGTAAATTTTGCAGTACACCCCTTCTTTAAAATTTGCCACTGTGCTGCAAAATGCTTTGCACTATGTTGGAAAAAATCTGAAGGATGTCTTACTTAAGCTGTGAAACCAGTGCAGGTAAACTGCTGTGCAAGATGGGTTCTGAGAATACCAGATTCTCAAAAAGGTGCTTGTTGTGCAGCTCCCATGTCACCTGGAACTTCTGAAGGTGCTCGTTCTCCTGATGGAATATAAAGGAACATGCCTGGATTAGATTAGGCAAACACAATCCTACACCTAAAATAAACCCTAAGCAAACCTTTTAAAGGGTTGCACTATTTTTTTATCTATGTTATAATCTCATTTCTCATCACGTTTAACAATATTAATTTTAACTGTAAAAAATATTACTGGACTGACGAATGTTGTGATGTCATCTGAAATCAAGCAATGTATGTCAAATCTTAAATGTAATTACGTTAATTATGTTTTATTGAAAAAGTACTCAGACCTGTCATATGCATTTACCCATGTTAGAGTGCATACATACCAGAGTGAGGAGGAAGCTGCTGATGGTGCGTGCAGCCTGACACAGGGCATTGTACTCCTCCAGCAGCAGAGAGATGAACTGATGTGCCTGAGGGGGGCCCTGGGACACAGCCACACTGCTCCCTGGCCCCCCCACGGACAGGTGCTTCAGCAAGCGCACCTTCATCTCCAGCACATATTCCCGGGCCTGCTGCTCCAAACGCTGATAGAGCTGGTATGGGTCCTTCTCACACAATCTGCACACACAAAATCAACTCAGTACTCCTACAATAGCATCCATCACTGTTCTGAATCGCTCGCCCTGCCATTTGTAGTTGCCTGGAGCCCTCTAGTGGCCAACTGTTGTAGCACTGACCTGTCCACCAGTTCCTTCATGCCCTCCTTGTCTCGCTCGTGCGGCTGGTCATGGTCGTCTGCGAGAGGGGTGCCGGTCTGACGGTAGATACATCGCACCAGGTACCGCACCTCCGACCAGTGGTTCTGCAGCTGCTGGGATTCTCTCTCCGACTCTGCAGAGATCTCCCTGAAACAAGATGAGGAGAGCATGAGGGCACGTTTTCTGCATGGTTTCGGGGTTCAGACAACAAGGCTAATTTTACTTTATCTTCTGGATTACACGCATAAATTATTTTACATTGTCTCTGTAAAGTATATTTATCGGCTCCACCTTGTGCTTGTGATGTCATGAACTGCTCCTATTACCTTTAGTTCAGTAGAGATTGGTGATGGTTAAAATAATTGAAATGATCCTAGTGAAGGTGTATGGAGTTTAAAAACACAGTGGAGCACCTCCTTTATTGCCCCATGACATCACAAGGTGGAACAGATTGTTTTCTATTTGAGATAAGAACTTGCTGGGTTTATAGTATGTGTGAATCAAAACAGAATGAATGAAACACATCTTCAGGAACTTTTTTGATGAGGAACACAGGTCAGAAAAGATCATAATATACTGTAGTCCCTATAACAGTAAACACATTTAGAGACTTCTTGTGTTGGTGAATATTTCAGTGTATGAAGCATAAAGTATATTTACCGCCTCTCATTGCAGGCCTCACAGCTGCACACAGTGTCAGCGGACAGGGGGGCAGACAGGTCCGGAGCGGGGAGCGTAGGGAGAGGAGGGGCTGCGCTGCTCAGTCTGTCCCCCAGAGTTACTTCCTGTGTCACGGTTCCATTCCCCATAGGCATGTGCAACAGGAAGTTCTGGCACTGAAAAGTCAGACACAATACATCTTTCATTAGGTCTCTCATTAAGTATTTTATAAGATCACACATTATGCATTGTTTGTAGAGGTGTATGCCTTTAGTTGTTTATTCAGTTAATCAGTCAATAGTGTCTTTTGTATAGTTGACCAATTATTTAATTTAAATATTTATTTTATTTATTTAAATGCTGGGTCAACAGAAGAAAGTAGAAATTAGTGAGTGAGTTAGCTGAAGATTTGGTATTCCTGTAAATAAGACAAAACTCACATATGTAATCTGTCATTATAGTAATATCTTGTTTCCTAGTACAATTTTCTGCATAAATAGTTATTATTGCAAGAACTCCAGCGAAGCTGTTGTCTTGTGAGTGCTGTTCAGGTTAGATACACGGAGATATATGGAGTAAGAAAGCTGTCAAAAATATTCGTGCGCGTAAAATAGAAATCCGTGCGTATTTGGGAAATCCGTGCATATTTGGCTGTAGTTGCGCATAAAATAAATATTTGTAAACTCTCAAATGACTCCAGTCGTACATAAAATATATTGTGTGTATTTTATCCATCAGAATACGAATTGAAAAATTACGACGTCATGAATTACAATCACGAAATGAAAATTTACGATTACGCTTTCATCAGTACGAATACGAATTCACAGACGGAACTTTACTGTCAAAAATACGTCATCACTTCACAGACATTATCCATCGAGCAGAAGAAACATCGATCAAGATCAAGACTGCGCATGCTCAAGTTTGTAGCAGAGGGTAAACACAGAGTAACAGCACAAGAAGCTACAACAGCGACCAACAAGTGGGTTAATTAAAATCTATTGTAAAAATGTCTTGAATTCGGGAACTGAACGCTGCTGTATAATATTGTGTAGAAACACCTCCTTTGAACGGGAAATTGCACCTATATGTTAGATAACATAGTGGTAGCCAGTTGGCTAACATCCGACGTAACGTTATCCCAGGGCTAATTAGCAAATATCAGGTTCTCTGTATGTTTAGATTAAAACATTCACGGCTACAGCCACAGCGAGCATCAGTGTCAGCGTCAGTCTTCACTTCAGCTGCATTTCTTGCATGAAATGCCACCAAAAGTTCCTCGGGACGCTGAAATGTCCCAGTTTACGCCAAACACTACCAAACTGTCCTGGTTACGACGTCACAGCCAATGAAATGTTACACATTACAGTTTAATGCAGCTTCCAGCAACAATTAATGTTCGTGTTTACAGGCAACACTTTGGTATGTTTACAGTATTTACCGGTAAGTTTAACATCACTGTAACGTGGATGGATTTGCTAATTATAACCCATTATAACTCATGTATAACCCATTGTCTGAAATGCAGCTGAGATGAAGGTTAAGACTGACTGATGCTCGCTGTGGCTGTAGCCGTGAATGTTTTAATCTAAACATACAGAGAACGCCGATATTTGTTAATTAGCCCTGGGATAACGTTACGTCGGATGTTAGCCAACTGGCTACCACTATGTTATCTAACATATAGGTGCAATTTCCCGTTCAAAGGAGGTGTTTCTACACAATATTATACAGCAGCGTTCGGTTCCCGAATTCAAGACATTTTTACAATAGATTTTAATTAACCCACTTGTTGGTCGCTGTTGTAGCTTCTTGTGCTATTACTCTGTGTTTACCCTCTGCTACAAACTTGAGCATGCGCAGTCTTGATCTTGATCGATGTTTCTTCTGCTCGATGAATAATGTCTGTGAAGTGATGACGTATTTTTGACAGGTAAAGTTCCGTCTGTGAATTCGTATTTGTACTGATGAAAGCGTAATCGTAAATTTTCATTTCGTGATTGTAATTCATGACGTCGTAATTTTTCAATTCGTATTCTATTTTATGTACGACTGGAGTCATTTGAGAGTTTAAAAATATTTATTTTATGCGCAACTACAGCCAGATATGCACGGATTTCCCAAATACGCACGGATTTCTATTTTACGCGCACGAATATTTTTGACAGCTTTCTTACTCCATAGAGATACGCAATAGTTTAGAGCTATTGTAATTGGACATTAAACATGAAATGCTAAATCAAAGGTACTCAAAAGCATATTTTTAGACTTTAAAATACTGGCTATATATTGAAAATACACATTATTTGCATCAGCTGCACTTCCTCTGCTAGGTTCTGGGGTTTGTACACCATCTACTGGCAGCAGTGTGAACAAAACATGGAAGAAAACAAAGTAGCCATTTAAGCAATGATTACATGCATCCTGTGTCCAGGTTCAAGGTCAGTGTAATACAAAACAGCAAACTTCGTCCAACTGAAAGAACTGGATTTGTACATCTACAATTAGCATAAATTAAAACCTAAACATTAGCCAACTTTACTTTCATTCTATCCACAAAAAATAATTTATTTTATGAGATCAACTAAACTGATCTGTCAGAGGTCAAATTCCCCTATAGGTATAATAAGCCTTAAAACTATATCTTTGCTGAAAACATTTTAAAAAGGACATTCAAGGACACATTTATTATTTATTTGTAGAATGTAATTCACAGCAGTGATACAAGTCAACTAAATATGTTTTTTTTAATACTTTAGACTCAAAGTAGCCACACTTAGCTTTGGTGACAGTGCTGCAAACCCTCAGCCTCTTGATATTAAAGTCTCCTGAAATGGTTTTGCAATGTCAGGGTTAAGAAATTCCAAGTGTCCAATGCAGTGATAAAAGAAAATGGCTATTTGTATCATCCAGCTAAAAAAAACAAAACATTATGCTTTGGTGAAACTTTGCAGGTTTCCATAGGCCGTGTCTGGAAAAGCGTGTACGTTTATGTGAAGAGCCGCAGTTACCCCCTGATGTCCGGATGCACAGAACAATATGTTTATGAGGAAACCAAACCCAGGGCCTAAAGTGTACCAGGCCCACACATCAAGAGACCAGAGGAAAGGCTGCCCAGGACCCACTGCAGCACAACAAAAGAAAGAAAAATTGGGAAATTTGCCCTCTGCCTATGACTGCATTATGACTGAGCAATTGCAGAGAATGTAGCCTTATAATAACCAAACACTTTACTAGCTCATACAAAGTAATAGTTGATGAATATATGATGCAAGATATACGGAATTATGTAGTGAAGTAAATATATTTTATATTCAAATCCTCAAAGTTGCCACCATTTGCTTTGTTTACATCACTGCAAACCCTTTGCCTTTTGAAATTTGAAAGGGACATGCCTAACAGCTGAAATCAGCTCACCTGTAGTTACAGCTAAGTCAGTTCTTTCTGGTTAGATCATGTTAAAATAAAGCTCAGATTAAAATGCTAATTTGAGTAACAGAGCTTCAGAGGGATATTGATACTTTTACATTGTATTGTTCAGTCCTACTGCACAGTGCCTGGTCCATCCCATAATAGCACTTTGTGTCTGAGGAGCAGTGAGTCATGCCATGTCTGTAGAAAACACAAGACGGAGCTCTGGGTGACATCAGCTCCGCTCGCCGTTCCAACTCCTTTAATTCTTCGTCCTCTGCTGCATCCATTAGACCAGCCGGCTCTGAGCTTAGTACTATGTGGGTGTGAAACAACTTATGTCACATTAGTAACGGCATAATGACAAGCTTTTGTGTTTGGAATAATAACATTTGTTTGGATATGGGGCGGCAACCAAGGAGTGCTGGGTGATATGACAAAAAAGTCATCTTCATTTTTTATCAATCAATATCTGTTTAAGGTAAATTGGTATCCCTCTTTCAATACTAGTTTTAGTATTGATTGCATCGGTTGATTTTTTTAAAATACTTTTCACAACCCTTTTTCAAATCTGTGTCATTTAACAAAATAGTCACAATTCTTCCTCCAAAGTCTGAACTCTTACTGACAGAGGACTGGCTGTGGACTCCTCTATTAAAATGCTAAACCATATAGCTGATGAGTAACAATGACTAAATCTTAATTATGATTAATTACACAGCTCTAGAGTCAAGAAAAACACTGTTATAGCTACTTACTGAGGAAAAAATTTAAATGTTCAGTACCTTAAAACTTAAAGTATGAGCTACAGGAAAATGTGACTAGCAGCAAAAATAGAGCAAGGTTGAATCACAAGATTTTTCCACATCTCCAAAGTCTTGTACAAGGCCAAGCAGCATAAAGACGGTTTTGTGTTGCTTAAAACAATGTCCTTATAATGAAGACCTAACCTCATCCACTGGAACAACAAAGATGGCAACCTAAAGAAGCTCTCTAGACACTTTAAAGGACACAAATTATGCTAAATTGAGGCTGAAAACCATGCTTGTTTCAGTAATCAAATAATTCTCTGTAAAAGGTCCTTTTTCCACAGCTCCTGTGACTGTAATGTCCTAGATGGAAGCCCTGCACAGTCCATAAATCACCACCAGAGTCATTCTAAACATTTTTGACATATCAGGCTCATTACTGCCTCATGCTTATTACTTGGTTTAATTGTTTCAGCTGTGGTAAATCCCTCTGCTGCCAGTAGATGGAGCATTAGAGCACTGAAGCTGAAATGATGTATGTTTTTTAGGCATTATTTTAAGTTGTAAATCATGAAATTGCTAAGCAAAGTTACTCAAGACCAGGCCATGTTCAAAGGTCAATAATACAAGTAATACATAATGTCCTTTAAATGTTATATTGTGTATGTTAAAAGTAAACAAAACATCAAGGATAATGGAAAATTCTAATGAATTACAGAGAGTTTAGTCTACTTTCAACATTGCCTTTAAATGTAAAACTACATTAACAGATAACACTAAATTTGGGCTGGAGAAATCGTTCAAACACAGAGACCTTTGCTCACTCCTATTGGTCAGCCTCTGTCATGCCCTGAGTGAGTGAGAGAAGAGTTTAATCAATCACAGTGAAGTGTGAATTTTGGGAAAAAGCAGATAGCGTTAGGTGCATTCACACGTGCACAAACTCCATATCCGAATTGGTACTAAATTAGAACTAAACCTAGAGCGGAGCAGGACCAAACCAAGTCTACATTGGGACTAAACTGACCTCATACCAGGGCAACCAATTTTATCTACCCCTTACACACATTATCTACATGAATTATTCATATGTGACAGCAATTAAACAGTGGTTCTTTGCAAACTGTAATATGCAATACTGTAATAATAATGACCCATCCCTAGGGCTGCACAATTAAAAATTAAATCACAATTTGAATAGACACAAATTAGCAAATCGCAAGGGCTACAACTTCTGAAGTACCACAATTTCACAATGCACAATTTCACAATATTCTGCACAAAGAACTACTAAACCTGTAGTTTAGATCTGTTCATATATTACCTGAAATGTAATTCTTTTCAGTTTATATTTCAGTCTTTTTTCACTTCTTCTTTGAATTTTGAACAGAATTTTCTTATAAAAACATAAACTTGAACTCTAATTGCAATTACAATATTTATCCAAAACAAACAAACAAAAAAAACACTATTAGATATTTTTTCTCTAAATCATTCAGATGTACCCAAGCCTACACTAAATGTACAACTTGAACTTACTTCTCTATGCAAGAACAACACACTGCTCCTCCATTATGTAATGTCACAAACCCTTATAAGCTACATGACAGTTTCCACAGGGCAGTGTTTACTCAGTGACCTTCAGATCTGATCTGTGAGCCTAGACTCACCCCCGTGGGCTGCTCCAAAGTGGTGTGGCGGTCCTCCTTCTCCACGGTGCGTCTACAGTCGGGACACACCCACAGGGGGAGCTGCAGAGAGCTGCTGGGACTGGACTGTCCCGGGCCATTCTGTCCAGAGGTCCCAGTGTCTGAGGGCGAGGTGTTGTCTTTCCTCTCACAGCGGCACAACAGGCAGCGGTCTCCAGCCGAGTACGGTGCGCGCTGGTTCAGACCAAACGTGAATGGAGTCTGCAGCAAAGGGGAAAAAATATGTATTAGTTACTTTGACATGTTTGTTACAGGAGGACTAAATGCAAAGGCAAGAAAGGGTTGTCAAAAGTATCAAAAATCAGATACTATAACATTCACAGGGCAGAAATGAACCTTCAATAAATTGCTTTATGATCTTGAGTTGTATCAGAAGTATAAGACCACACTGATTAGTAGACGCCCATGGACCCCTATGGAACCTTCCCAGACCACTGATTTAACTGAATACAATTTAATGTTGAAAATCACATTTTTAGTATCAGTGTAAGTCTATTTCTTAGTATCAAAATAATGTGACATTTTATTATTGTGACAACACTACAAGGGCCAAACTGATATTTGTTATTATAAAATAATTACATACTTCATAGTGTGCTTTTGGGCACATAAATCAAAAGTGCAGCTTTAGAGATGTAGTTGCATTCATCTAAAATAAAGGACAAAATTGATTGGGGTCACAAAAAAATGATTTCTATACTAAGGAAAAGGCTTGATAAACACATCTATTACAGCTGCAGTCATCGACTAAACAAGTGTCCTGCCGATCAATTAGTCATTGAAAAGGTACAGGGAGAGTGGCATAAAAATTGCAAAAGCTTATAAAACTTCTCATTATCGCTAACCCTGCACTGCCCCAAACGATACTAAAAAGACTACAATTGGGTGGAGTTTACACAATAGCAATTATTTATACAGAAAATACAAAGAAAGTGTATAAGTTTAAAGGCAAATTACACCCATGATTCACTCCTCAATTTTTTCTAACTCATACCTTCTCCTTTCTGCCTTTGTCCCATTTAAATCTAATAATCCTAATAAAATAATTAGTCGACAAACACACCAGTGCTGATTAACGAACTAAATGCCAACAGTCCTAATTGTAATACAACATAATGTAATTTTCAACTCCAAATAATTGTAATTTCTAAGTTACCATGTGGCTGTGATATGGTTTAAGATCATTCTTAAATTATTCAGGAATGGATAGAGTTTTACATTTTTTCAACACAAAATGTTATGGGACCAATCTCATTGTCATTGCGACCATCTGTTACGAATTAACAGTAGCACAATACAAGCAGACTGTCCTTTTGAACTTACTAGTTTTTTGTGCTTAACAACAATAAATAATTCATTACTAAGTTAGCATGAACAACATTATCAATTTATGACTGCAAGTTGAAAGTCAAACATAGAAACATCAAAACATACATGAATGTGAGTATTGTTCTTAATTGCAGTGCAGATGTTACCTGAAGGACACTGGAGAAGTCTGCGTTTACTGGTCCTTCTGTGAACTGTGGGGCCACACTGTTGTTCATATTGACCTGACAAAAACAAACAACTATAAAGTTAAGCTGAACCAACTTGGACTTCAGTGTTGGTGTCACTTATGTGCTTTATATGGCTGCTACCATAGACAGTATATGGATATAGCTACAGCTAGTTGCTGCGTTCTAGACATGAAGTGAGCATGGGTGCGCTTCCGGCTCCATCAACTCCAGTTCAAAGACACTTTGTATTGTAAAAACGGTGTCCCTCTCTCTGTAACTGCCGCTGTCAGGGTCTTCATTTTTGTCTTAAAATGTTCGTATAAACCTGTTCTAAATAATAATGGCGTTTTCCTATTCCTAATACGGAGTTAGCTAGCCTCAGCGGCTTCATTTAACTGGAGCTGAACGCTATGGGTGATGTCACACTCCCTCAATCCATTTCTTTGTACATGGTTTTTACTAATGATTATTTAGCCACATAAATAACTGAGCTATTATTCTGTCAAAAAATATGTCAGTCAATATGAGATTTTAACAAAATTTCAAGTGATGCCACTTGAGGCCATCCAGATGGAGTAAAATATTTACAGACTAAAAAGCACTAAATCTACATGTTTCCCATGTCATTTTGGTGTAATTTTTTATTTGTCGCAGTCATAAAACATCTCCTCTCAATGCATGTTTTGCAATATGTATACAGTCCATATAACAATTACCTGATTAGTAAATTTGTTGATGATTATCTCATCAATCCATTAGATGTGACTTATTGTTAACTTGTTCCAGCTCTAGTGGATTCACTGTCTAATTTATTTTAAGAACATAAAACTCCAAACACTGTCAAAATGTTAGATCTTATTCTGTGAGACATGAGATTATCTTCATATATTTTTGTTCATATACTGTCCTAGGCCCTTTCTATATACCAATTAGTAACAAGGAACAACAAAGACAATTAGAAAAAAGATCTATATTGTGAACTAAACCACTTTTAATTATGTTTAGTTTAGCAAAGCTTGTTGTTTACAGTTGTCCTTCTGTTGATTTGAGTATTTTGTTCATCTCTATGCCCGATTACTTAATAACATTCAAATTTTAAAATAATATGAGCAAATATGATGTTTATAGAGTACGTCTGTGGATTTTTGGGAAAGGAATAGCTACCACTGACGATGCAAAATGTTTAAATGTTATGGAAGGATAAAGGCAAACTGTATCAGAATAAAAGCTCCTTTACATAACAATAAATATTAAAATTAACAGGTATGTAAACGCTAGAAAAACGAGATTAGGGGCAGCTTGTGACAACACAGCAGCGAGGCCGAAAGGGACTCAAGTAGTGGACACCTGCCTTAGCATTAGCCATGAGAATGTTTATGTATGCAATAACTCTCTTTCTACAGCAAAGGTGGACTTATAGAACACCCTGTACACACACAGAATGAGTATGTGTCTGTGCATTGTAAAGACTGTACAATTGATGGTTAGTTGTGTTAAAGTTGTTGTCGCATTAGCTCGAAACTTAAGCTAACGAAAGTCGACTCAGCGTTGGGCCAGGACTTGTAAACCGTCATGTTTAGGTTGGTTTCTTACACCACAACAGTGCAATTCTACCTACATACTGAGCCGTGTGTGTGACAAAACTGTCTGTTGTGAAAGAACACATCACATATAATAAATTCACAAGAGATTGGCGAGTTTGTTTAGAGTTACGTAGCAGAGTTTGTGGGTTAGCTGTCCCAGTCCAGTGTCGGGCCCAGGCAGATCTGTGTCGTTGATAACGCTGCTATGTCTGTGCCTCCTCCTGACATCCACCAGGACAGCTGCCTTGGCGCTCTTACCTCTCCGTTGATGCCCGTGATGGAGCCTACATTTCCGTTGCTCGTGCTTCCAGGGGATAAAAAGTTGACCACGGAGGCAGGTGTAGCTGTCCCCGCACAGCTCAGGGCCTTGGCACTGCTGCTGTTGCAGACAGCACTGCAGCTACTGCCACCGCCCCGCTTGTTCTTCCTGCGCTTAGCTCCTCGTTTAGCATCGGTTGGACTCATTTTTCCGCGCAAACACAGTGAGACAACTTGTCCTCCAGGTTTAAGAATGTCTCAGGTCGAATGCCCGACGAAATCACTCGGGTAGGAAACCGGGAAACGTTTTGAAGTCTCCCAAAACGGTACACAGTTCCACCAGAGTGCAGCTCGACTTCATAGATTCCAATATGGCCTCTAGGTGGGTGGGCTGCTGCCGTGGTTTGCGTCACGGCGTCATTCAGCGTGCCCCTCGAAGAGACTCATGGGACATTGAGTTTTTTGCTTTAACCCCAGTTTACCCAATAAGAACGGGGAATATACTTTTTTATTAACTATGTGAGCTCTATATGCAGGTGAAGATACTGGGCACCCATGTCCAGTTGTGAATATTCGAAGGGCCAAAGACTGGATGCGATCAACAAATTGAGTCATTCAGACAGGCTCATTTAACGTATGACAGAGCCCCTGTACCTTTATGGATGGAACAATAATTTAAGGTCTGTGTCACCATGCAACATGGTGTCATTGGGTTTATATGTGTGTAACTCTGTATATATAATGATATGGGCCAATCCAGCATGACAACAAAAGAAAAATTGCGGCGTGCCGCATTTAGCCCCAGAGCCACAGTTTGAACACCCTTGTACGTCTTTACCTAGCTGCACTCCTCTGATTTCACCACGAGAGTGCGAGCTTGGCCAATCCATGCGATGTAGTTTGACGGATGACACCCAAGGGCCCCGCAGCGAACCAGTCTTTCCGGGGTTCGAGCAGAAAGTCTGGCGTGGCTGAAAGGACGCAGATGATACATTAGCAGGCTTTGTTTTACATGCACCATTTGATGATCGGGAGTGAAGCGATCTGCCCCGGTAGAAAGCGAATACGCCCTTTTGCACAGCAAAACACGGACGGAGTACTGCCTCTACTACTGCGGCTCAGCTAGCGTGCAAGAGTTAGCCACGGACCAAGACGGGTAATCCAAACTTTTGATCGTTACTCGTTTACTTAACCCAATCACTCAGGCAGTATAAATAACCACGGTCACATATTACTAATCTTTACTGTCTTATCATTGCGGGCTTTTGCGATTTTAGCATCATCCAGTCACGTCCAACAACAAGCTTCCTCTTCCTAGACAGCGTCCTTGTTCTAACACAACTTGCATTGCCGCATTTATGAATTGATGAATTGTTATGTTGTACAGTTCTAAATGTAATCTGTCCTGTCGTGTATTTTTAATTACTTGTGGAATAGAGTGTATAAAGGTGGTCACGTGATTGTCGATCCAGTGGTTGGTGCAACAGGTAGTGACTGGCCGTTTATCTAAAGTAGAGAAACTTGTTCCTTGTGCATTGGACAAAAGGTTTATCCGTTGCTCTTGGAGGTCTGCTAGAGGGATCTGTGATATTAACATGAACGACGGGATATAATGAAGAAAAGAATGCACACTTTGTATTTGTGCAAAGGTTCAAGAATGCCCTCTGTAATTATTTATAGTTTATGTAGGCCTATGCAGATTGATACTCATATCCAAAAACATGCCTGTCAGCTTAGTTATAGTTAGTTATAAAAAAATATATAGCCTAATAGGAATTGAACTTCAACTGATTTCAAGATATTTGAGCAAGCAGCATAATGATATCAAAAGTCATTATTGATAAAGCTTACACTGTCTGTTGCATAGTTTATCAGAAAATCTTACCCTATGGGATACAACAGCAGTCACAAGGGTCTATTTATTGTAATTTTTAGACATTAATATGCATATGATAGGTGTGCAAATTCTATTCATGACTTTGCTCTGAGGGATAGAAATTACAGGACATAGCACTTAAAAGCACTTTGTCTACATCATCAGTACACGCAAATCCATTCATGCAGGGTCAATTTCTGCTCAAGAATAGAAGTATAGATTTGATTTTATTTTTCTTAAGGAAATCCTGCTTTTGGGTTATTGTATAAGTGGCGTAATAGCATTCAAGTTCATTGTTTATTATCTATATCTTCTTCAGTATATATCATACTACAAAATTTGTTATCATGATGAGCCAACATATATTTTTAAAACAAACCCCACTGTCCACAGAATATTTATCTGCTACTGAACAAACTACTTGTAGAACAAATGAATGAATAACACATAATGTGCCCTTTGTCACTCTTAATCCATGTAAAGGTATAACACTGGAACCCATTTATGAACTGTAACTTGTTTTTTTCCAGGTATGTCGGAAGTTAGTCTTGAGGCCGTATCGGGGAAGACTTCTGCTGAGGAGCCTCAGATGGATTGTGAGGAAAATGACAGAGCAGAGCAGAGCATGAGTGAAGAAAATGCCGCCAGAGTTGATGATAGTGCAGAGGTCAGGTCCAGTGAACTTTATGAAGTGGATATAGATAGTGGAGAAGAGACTGAAGACAGAAAAAAATTGGAAAATGAGCGCGAAGAAGAGAGGAATCAGAATGAGAGTGGAGAATTAGGAGCAGGCAGTACTGACAGTGTAAACAAAGATGGCAGAGAAACACAAGGATCGCCAGAAGAGGGTGGAGATTCAAAGGAGGAAACCAAGGTGACCAAGTGTTGGTGGCTAGCAATCTGTAGTCGTGGTGGCTGTATGTCAGTGTCTGGGTTGTGGCTTGCTTACGGTGGTGGGTTCTTTGCCTATAAAGTTAGATTTTTAGCAATTTCTCAACATTGTGGTATGGTACTGGTCTGTACTCAGTGCTGCTCATGTTATTGTTATTGCTGGGCAATATGTAAAAAAAAATGTTTTTTTTACATGGCCAATTACCATCTAGATTAGTCAATAAGACTTTCTTGTCATTACCATGTAATTTTACTCTATATGATTCACTGCAGACTTATTAAATCCAGAACCCGATTACTGAAAATGTTTTATAAATGATGGAATTGATTTTGACACTCTATATTCAATACAACTACGATAGCATAATGATAATTAAAATTATCTTTCTTTAGACGATATGTGATTTTCAACATTAAATCACTGGACTTTCTTTTATATTAACATGTGGTTCCTTAGTGGTCCATGGGCATTTCCCTAGTGTTCTTGCTTAATCTTTTCAGGAAAGGTTCATTTCTGTCCTGTGAATATAACATTTTTAGTATACCTGCTCAAATGAGTGTCTTGTTTTGAGTAGTATCTGATTTTCGATTTTTAACAATTGTTAACATAGCTGTTGTCCCTACTTAACAATTGTTAACATAGCTGTTGTCCCTACCTAGCTCAGCAATAAATAAACAAATTCTTAAGCCTACCATACCAACTCATACCCTATCACTTTGTTGAAACATTGCATTTTTGAGTATATTTGGCAATCACTTCTACTTGTTGCTTTACTGATTGTGGCCTTTACAGTTGTGCATAGCTGTGGTGGTACTTTGTGAGCTGGTTAAGGAATATCTTGTTATATTATGACTCCCTTTTATCTCTTTGGCTTTTACTGATTGTCCTCTGATGTGTCAGAAGTGGGAAGACGATTATCCCATTATGAGTTCTCTGCTTTATGCCAATACCTGCTTGAAATGTGAAATTACTGTTGAAACTATATATGACTTGCAATTATTTATTTAATATGTATTCATATGTTTGAGGCAAAATTGTAAGTTGTACAGCTGTGTCAGCATGGATGTGTTTCCTACTGTAGTGGATTTTGAACAAGCCAGAGCATATGATATTGGATTCTTTGCATAACCTAAATTCTGAATTACAACTGAGCTGAAATTCAAGCATTTAGTATCTACATGTACCTTAAAGTGAGCAGACAAATATTAACACATTCATTTACAATTCATTTATAAAATATGAAAGTTTGAGATGACAGCAAATTAATCATATTTCACATTATACATTTTAGTGAAACAAGATTTTGTTTACTTTGTCCTTTTGTATTTTTAGTTTCACCCTAATTACTGAATACTTGTACAAATCAAGAATACAGAAATTTGCAGTTGCAATTTCAATACAATTATCTTAGAGTTCAATATCTGTTTTTTAATAAAGTAATGTATTAATTTGCTCACAATACGTGCTTTATAAACCTGCGGAATTACCTTTGTTTCATAATACAGAAGTAGCTTGAATAACAGCTTCTCCTATAGTCCCCCTGTGTAAGTTGCACACATGCAGTTTTTAGGCTCACTGCCGGTCACATGGTTTTGGCTCAAACCCTGAGCTCCTGACAACTCAGTCTCCCTCACTTTTTGTGCCGCTGGAATGTGACTCTTCTGGCTACTGCTGTTCCTCTCCATAAAAGCTATTGTCTTTGCTAAGGAGGGATGATGTATAATAATAATAATAATAATAATAGAAATAATTAGGGCTGTTCTCAAAATTGGCTCTAATTGGCTCATTGTTTTTTCCCTTCCATTGTGTCCCACATCATAGTATAGGTGGTATCTAGGAAACCGTCTCTCAACCATGGAACAAAGCTTGGCATGAGTATTACGCTTCTATTATCTGCTAACACAACATATTTAGATCACCATGTTATGTTTTATTGTTTAGAAAATGCTATATTCACTGAAAACAACATATTAACATGTTTTATTGCTTTCAGTTTTGTGTTTGTTGCTCTGATTCCCCCCCTCTCCATTCGAGAGCATTGGTGGTTTAGGCTTGTGAGTTGAGTTTTGCATAGGATCGTACTACTAACTGTGAGGAGGGTTAAGGAGAGATTGTTAAATGACACGAGCATGCATGGATGATATCTTAATCCTGTTCAGGCATGTTTGTGATGAGGGAACAATGTTATAACAAGGTAGAAAGCTCCAAAAAGTTGATTTAGCATAATACCCCCCTGTAATGGAGTTACTGTTTAGCTCCTACCATTGCTTACCTCTACCATATGTTACTGGTCCCATTAGCTGGGTTAGTGCCAGGTCTCAAGCCTCAACCCATGGGTGTGGTTTTGGAACTTCCCAAATCCAGGTCACGTGGTTCAATTATGAAAATAAATAGAACATAGGTAAAGTATAACATGATAGGTGATGAAGGATGTTTTTATTTTTGGGTGTTATTGCAATGATGAAAATCTGAATAAATTTTAGCAAGGTTTGTCAAAAGTTTCAAAACAAGGTAGTCATTTGAGCAGGTATCAATACTAAAAAACAGGACAGAAATTAATCTTTCTGAATAGCTTTAAAATGATCTTGAGCTGTATCAGAACAAGTATAAGACCACATAGATTAGTATACGCTCAAGGACTACTATGGAATTTACCTGCACAACTGAGGGATTACACAGATTTAAGGCCACATGGCAATATGAAGGAAAATACTATTACTTAATGTTGAAATTAATAGCATGCTGTTGTCTAAATAAAGAATGTTTTTTTAATTATAATTGTGCTATTGGAATCGGTATTGGGTATTGAGTCTTTTCCTTAGTACCAAAATCGAGTTTGAAATTGTATTATTGTGACATTATTTAGCTGTCCATCCAAATGATAACACATTTCTATAAATGTCTTGGGTTTGATTAACATGACCCAAGATTGGCAGGTTAATCCCTGCACTTACATACTTCATACTATTATTAAGTTGTTGGTCAAGACAATTAACCCTCATAGCCTCCGGTAATTTAAAAAAAAGTTGTAATGGTAACTGCTCTTAAAGACTACCTTTTCTGTATGGAGTTTGCATATTATCCCTTATAGTTACTATGCTTTTGTTATGTGGTTAAAAGTATTAAAAATGGGGATGCGCATTTGGAGAAAAATAGGTTATAAGTTATTATTTCTGTGACTGAATTAGGTCTATACAACTACTAAACTGAGACTTTTAATGTAGTAGTAATAGTTGGGTTAGTAAATATTGAGACCACAACTAGGGATGGTTCAATATGGATTTTAACTGATATTTATCATTTATATTTAGCAAATCCCATGTATTTAACTGGGGTTTAGTCAACTAATCGATCTGCAGGACATGTCTGTAGTCGAACAATAATTTCTTTAGTTGACTACAGCCCTATTTCACTCATTAGTCTATTCTTAAAGACAAATGATTACCTGTGGACAAAGTGGAAATAACACATGGGCACACAGAGGCTGGAGCTGTGCCAAAAAAATAACAGTGCTTGAAAACTGATATCAGGTTAATGAGTTTTTAACCTCCGAGCAGATGACAAGGTGCTTTTGACGCTATTGGTTACATGCAGTAGGGGAAAGAGTACTGCAAATGTGTAAATTAAAAGTACAGTTACATGGCTTAAAATGCTCTGTTTTCAAAATTGTACCTAAATAAAAGTAAAAAAGTACACATGAAAAATACTACAGTTAGTTCATAATTTCATAATTTTAAAGCTGTATTTTATCATTTCACATTACAATCTTCATAATCTTCATGCTTTATCCAGTCAGAGCCGCCAATGCAGTGTTTGTGTTTGTCGGTGTAGAAAGGAGTAGAGACAGGTGAGACGACTGTGGCTTGGGACTATTGTGACTTGTGCTGTATCCAGTACTTGTATGATTGGAAAAGTATAATTGCTCAAAAATCTACTCAATTACAGTAACATATGTATTTGTAATTGGTACACAAAATGATGATTGAGTTATCAAGAGTATCAAAAATCAGATATTAATCAACAGTAACACTACTATCGAAACAAATTTAAGCAAGTATTGATACTGAAAGAATCACATAATTACAGGTAGATAAAAGATTTATCATACCTAGTGAAAGACAACATGGTATAATAAACAAATATTATTTTGTGTTGAGAATTACATTATTGTCTATAAAAGTGACAACAATATAATGTAAGAAAACAATATAAAACTCTCTACATTAGTCATTTTTATTGTATTACTAACCAGACATGTCTTAACAAGCCACTAAACACACAGTCTATCAGCTCTATTTGTTATCGGCAGTTCCTGGTTGTAGAACAGTGGATGTCTGCTGTGCTGGTGTGACTGTGTGCGGGCATCAGGTGTCTTTAAAGTTTTTATGAGTCGGTTACTGGACACTTCCACGTGAATGCATAGGTTCACAGGGATCTAGATGTCAACACTAAACGCATTATCGGCTATTATAGGTTGAGATGTCTGTGATCACTATAGCTGATATCATGTAAAAGATGTTTTGAGATGCAAACACACGACACTCCCTTTTTGTTACGTCAGTCCTGGGTTAGTTGAACCTACACAACCAGGAAACACTATATGATAGTTAACAATCATAAAGCAAATAAATGGTCAATTGTTTTTGTTTTAATAACATAGGCATAGTAGCTAGTGGTGGGAAATCATGTATCGAAAAATGTATAAGATCGCAATTGCTGGTTTGAAGATATGCAGAATATTGTGTCTTCTATATTAAAAAGCTATTTTAATATAAAAAAAAATAAAATACACTTTATTTTTCAAATCATCAGCCCATAGAATCTTGCGATGCCATTCGAAACCTTTTTTTCATTCTGAAAGAAAATATAACCCCCCCCAAAAAAATCTTTGCAAATTGTTCATATCAGAAGTTTTGATATTAGTTTTGATGTCGATTAGTATTTGGTTTTCTATACTTTTGACAACTCCAACCAGTTCGGAGTTAACATACTGATGCATTATAATTATAGGCCTGTGGTTGCTTATACGTTAGTGCTTATTTTAGACCACAGTGACTTCCTGTAAACTTTTATTGAGGTGATTTGTGAGTGGGTGTCCTAGTTCTTAAGTCCATAGTGCAAAAGAGCAGCTGTATTTAGGGCAGGGATGAGAGCCACGTCGAGTTTTTTATTGCCAAACAAATGTTGTCTCCACCCAGTGGCCCTGTGGAGCAACATCCCAGTATGCTACAAACACAGGGCAAGAGTGTCGTTAGATTTAATAGTTTTGCTCTTTATGTATGAACTCATGATACTGACAAATTAATATTATTTTTATTATTATTAGCACTCATTTATGCTAGTGCTGTTACAATACAAAAATTCCAAACTATTTCAGTACTAAGGCATTCACAGGGATAAAATATCCTATTATCTTATTCTGCATAATAACTGCTAACCCATATACCCATTATTCTGAAACATGGGATTCTTGTACTAATTTGTCAGTTCATATGTCAGTCTTTTTGACAAATCTGCTGGACACATTTAAAATCTTAACTTTAAAAGCGTACATCGCAAATTGCAGTGCTTGTCAGAAAAATTGCAGTAAGATATTTTCCAGAAATTGTTCAGCTCCAACATGTACTGTTATATGTTTATTTATGCTGCAATACATTTTTCTAACTATCATTCGTGTGTTGTTTTGTCTAAAGTAGCCCTCAGCACACTGTTGTCTCTCTTCATGTCCAAACCACCTGAGCCAGTCCAGAGTCTTCCACAACCTTGTCATGACTGAGTGTTGTATCTGTTCCATAGCACAATATTGATCTCATAATCTTACACTGGGACAAGAGGTGTAGTCACATGTGCTTTTAAAATCATCTGGGAATTGTTCATAATATTGTCAATTTATTTGTCACTATTGTAGAAAAAACTGAATAATAATAATAATAATGCATTTAAAATAAATTAATAAAAAATAATAATAATGCTTTAAAATAATGAATGCCTTCAGTCCTTTAAAGTTCCCTTTTAAACTCCTCCACAGCATAACTCTGCACAGAAACTATTTATTGTTCTCCATGTTCTGGGTTGATTCAACTTGAAGTTGCCTCTCAGACTAAAGACCCCTTGCTGTTTAAGGGCATATTCACACCTACAGGCTTCAGTCTGATTAAAATGGACTAGAGTTTGATTACACTGAAAGTCCGGACTTAAGTGGACCGAGACCTTGATTGGCACTATGTTCTACTCGAGTTATAATGTCAATGTCATTACATTATTCAATTACCAAAATTCCAAGCTAAAATGTATTCCTAACACAAAATGAAATTTGATGAAAACTGTAAACCCTCATTCAAAATATGTTTAATTAATTTTAATATGTACATAAACTCATTGAATATGGGTTGAGAAAAAAAAAAAATCTAAACAATTGTTTGAAACATAGTGTTACTTTTTTATTTGGAATATGCCTCTGACAAAAGAATGAATTCATTTATTTTTATTAAATCTGTTGTATTTCTTCTACTTTTATTAATTTAATATTCATAGTATTACTGGGATTTTATTTTTTCAAGAAAAAACTTCTCTGGCACTGTCCACCAGATGGCAGTCCTCTCCTCTGTGGTCAGATGTCTTCCACATACAGTACAAGACTGACTGTTTGTCTGTTGCAGGAGAGCACCATGGCTGAGGAAGCACACAGGAGCTCAGCCGCAGAGATCCCAGTCACTACCAACGGAGAACTGGACCAGAGCCCAGACCAGGTCTTCCAGAGGGTGAGGACCATGACTACTTTACAGCACCTGACTTATTACCAAGTCTTTTCAAATGTATAAAGCAAGCAGGTCTATATATATCATTTTGTATAGTCCCAAATCACAGCAGTAAAAAAATTAAACAGTGAAACAGTCATGGGGGACATTGGATAACATCATGTAGTGTGACCTAGTGTTTTGAGAATTCTCTATACTATACTCTATATAGTATAAAATGCAGTACCTTGTATAGTGCGCATTCATTATTGACCAAAACTTCATTGCATTTGTGTTCAGGACTCATATGCTGGCAGCCCTGGTGCTCTGAACCTGTCTGAGTCAAACAGCTTCTCTTCAACAGCAGAGGGCACCGTTGTGAAAGAAGGTGACTAAAATTTAGATACTGTCAATATGTACCCCAACTGTGAAATATAGTTAATATGCACGTTAACAATAGCTACTCATTTAAAATAGTAACTAGTTTATAAGGACTAGTGTTGCCACGATACTAAAATTTCAAATACGATTTTGAATGAATGACCCTATACTGGTTCATAGGCATATACTAGTTTATGTGGTTTTATACTTGTTCTGATATAGCTCAAGGTAATTCTAAAGCTGTTCAGGAAAGGTTCATTTCTGTCCCATGAATGTGATTTTTTATTTTTATTTTTTTAAGTACAATATTGATACTAGCTGAAATTTCCTCTTACAGAACAGCAGTGGAGGTGAAATATATTGTTCTCCCTTGTGTCATGAATTTGACACTTTGTCCATTGTTTTTCACTGGACTGGACATTTGAATTTGAATCACATACACATCTATTTAAATGTAATTATAGCTTCCTCTGATCTCCTTGTTGTCATCCTTTCATCCTCACTTCCTTTTCCCACAATTCAAATGCAAATGGTTCCATAGAAGACATGGTTTTAAAAATACTTTTATGCAACAAAAGCGCACCAATTTACTGAATGTAAATCCCTTCTTATATTCAGGCATTATACCACAAAGATGCATGCATAATTGTGCATTGTGAATATGTATTTCTCAGGGTCAGCCAGCCTACCCTGTTCTCCGGTGACGCCTGTAGCTCCCAGCTCGGCGGCCGCAAGCCGCCTGGCTCGCTCCTCCAGCTGTAGTCAGGCTGAGACAGGTATTTACATTAGGGATGGTATGAAATGGATTTTTTGAGCCAATATCCGAGATTTGTCTTGCTGTTGTGGCCGGTGTAATATACCAATATTGAGGAAATACCATCCCTAATCTACTAATGCATATTAGCTTTTAGCTTTAACATAAAGTCGCCTCTTTCTCGCTTGATCTAAAATGCCTCTTTCATTTTATAATCTAATTGTTCTTCAGTCTTTGCATGTACACCAATCCAATCTATACACGGGGATTCCACCTCTCAATCTTATATTTTTCCATCCCTTCTCTTAAGTATCAGTGAAGAACATTATTGTAAATTCTCCTCTTCAGAAATAACAAATAAACAAACTAGGGGTAAGTTGCTACTGTAGCCACAGCTGCCATAGGGCAGAGGAAGCAAAGCTGCCAATCTGTGCCAATAGCACCTCCAGCCACCACCGACACACACACCTCATTCATACTGTGGGGGGGTGAACTGTCTTGCTTAAGGACACTGCAACAGAGCTTCCAACCTTCAGGTTGGTGCACAAATACTCTAACTGTAGAGCCACTGTCGCCCTGATATACAATAGATTTTCCTATTTACTTATCAACATTTAAAAGAATTCCAATATCAGCTGTGGATCCTTTATCCTCTTTTCTTGGAGCTTTTGTCCTTGTGAGCTCTGGCACCACTCTTCGACTTCCCGGTCCCACAAACCTTGATTAAAGATTCATAATGTCCTCTCTAATTATGAGACATTTTGAAGATTGTGTCATTGTAATGATTTCTCTTCTGTAATGAATTGTACATAAATCTATTAAACAGCTATTACAATATTCGCTCCAGCATTTAAAGTATTCTTAATAACTGTATTATTTCCCATTGTTCAGGTCAAATGAAAGGACAGCCTCAGAGTGGAGCACTGGTGCTTTCAGACGACCTCAAGAACCCAGCTCTGGAAAAACTGGAACTGGTCCGAAAATGGAGCATCAACACTTATAAAGTAATGATGTGTTTTTTATACTTAAATTATTACTTAAGTCTTGCTGTATTATTATATAGTATTATGTTTCCCTGTGTAGCCTAATATTTTTGTCGACAAAAACTAAACAATCATCGATAACTCCTTACCATTCCAGCCTAGTTTAAAATATCTAACTAAAATGACTCTTAATTCTAACTGAATCTGTTTGGAACACAAACAAATGGCTCTTTGTGAAGCTGAGACTCTGTAGTTTTGGCCTCTGCTTTCTGATCCACGCTAGTTTTAAGTGGAAACCATAAACTGTATAAAAAAGTAGACTAAGCAAGTGTGACGTCATCCATAGTGTTCAGCTTCACTCAAATGAAGCTCCTGATGGTAATGGTTACAGGAGAGAATCTGGAGCCAGGCTCCATATTTGGAAAGCTGACTGTGAGTATCATGGCAACCACAAGAGCCAGTCATGATTGAGGTCATTAAATGTGCCCGCCCTTCTCACTGGAAAGCGGGAAGGGGGCTTACTTAGCAACAAAATGCACTAGCTGTCAATCAAACCTGTTGCTAATGCTAGCAGGAGCGACCTCGGGGAATGAAGGCATCTGATTGGTCTGTTATTTATGTTCATATCTTGATTTAGGGACAAAATAGCAAAATGAAAAATTCAGGATCATGTAGAGCGGGTCAGTGCGCACATTTTAAGACCAAAGTGACGAGGTTCGCAGCAGCACTTACAGAGAGGGGTGAGAAGATCCCTATGTAAGACAATTTGAGACGGGGGCAGAAGGAGCTGGAAGAACCGGTGCACTTCCTATTTGGAACGTGGTGGCTAGCGTGTTAGCTGTGTCCATTCATATATACGGTCTATGGTGGGAACAAGCTCTACATTGAGGAAATTCAGATTTCAAATTGTGCCTTAATTATTTGGGGTAAGTATAAGAATAGGGATAGCTGGTGTCCCTGGGGATGATCTTAGAGGAAGAAGATTGAATGTTTGTTGGATCTTGACAATTTCCATGTCAAAGATGAAGCATATCTCACTAAACTAAGATTGAGAGACTTGTAATTAGGCAAAAAAGTTCAGTCGGCATAAAACCACTCTATTATATCGTTGCAGTCCCTCAGTCATCCAGTTAGGGTCCAGAGTGGACCATGGGCGTATGTTCTAACACCGCTCAAAATCTTTCTAAAACTATTCCCGAAAGGTTAATTTATGTCCTGTGAACGTGACTTTTTAGTACTGATGCCTATTCAAATGAGTACCTAGTTTTGATACTAGTTTTTGTATTGAGTAGTATCTGATTTTCGATACGTTTGACAATTCTACAGTGCACCAGGCAAATCCTGTCGGAGAAGCTGGGCAAAGGTTCCAAAACTGTGGACCTGGAGCTGGAGGCGCAGATAGAGGTTCTTCGGGATAACAAGAGGAAGTACCAGCAGGTGATCCGCCTGGCACAGACCCTGGCCGCTCAGCTCACCCAGATCATGCAAACACAGAAGCAGCTGGGGGACGCCTTCGCAGACCTCAGCCTCAAGTCGCCTGAACTCCACGTAAGGTCACTTGTTATGTCGAGTACATACTCATGGTTATGTGGAGAAGTGTTGCAGTTAGACTTGCAGAAGACTGAACTATGAACTGATATAAACTACTACAAGAATCCAATGACTTTAAGAACATGTTTGTAGAAGTCTAAACTCCAGGTAGAGACTTTTCAATAAAAAGACTGGATATTTTGTTCTCTGCAGAGGAAATTCTTTAAATACTTGCAGCAATTTGATGTTTGCAGCAAATCAACGTTTATTCAGTTGTTATATATTTGACCAAATAAATAGCAATTCTATTTTCTTTTTCCAAAATTTATAGGCAAGACAAATGTATTTGTATAGCACAATTACATGTAAACAAAGTAATTAAAGTGCTTATTCTAAGTTCTCCTAGTTCTTGTTTTAGTTTTGTCAAGGCTAATTGTATAAATTTATGCCATTAGGAGGAGTTTGGTTACAATGCTGAGACCCAAAAGCTTTTATCCAAAAATGGAGAGACACTGCTGGCAGCCATCAACTTCTTCATTTCCAGCGTGAACACACTAGTGGATAAGACCATAGAAGACACCATGATCAACATCAAACAATATGAGATTGCCAGGTAATGCGTTCAGTTTTATTTTTAATATACTTTTGGTATACATAAGAAATAGTATTTTCTAGTGTTACAAAAATTTCAAACTCTATACTCAGGAATAGACTTGATACTCGATACAGATTCCAATATCCCAATGATAATTAAAAACTGTTTGTTTAGAGAATAGAATGTGATTTTTCAACATATTGTCTTATACTTGTTCTGAGCCTATTCTAAAGCTATTCAGGAAAGGTTCGTTTCTGTCCTGTCACTTTTTTAGTATTGAAATTTGCTCAAAGGATTTTTAGTGCTAGTTTTAATATTGATTAGTATTCGATTTTCAGTTTTTGACATCCCTAATTGAAACCTTTGTGTTTCTTCCATTGCTTCATCACTTATAATGTAGTCCTGTTCTTTGAAAATACCAGAGTTTCAAAGTTCTTCAAATTAAATCAGATGTTATGTCCTGACCATTACGCTTTAAGTTACTCTTACTTGAGTAGTAGTTTCCCAAATACTTACTTGAGTCATTTTTTGGGAATCTTCTTTGTACTTTGAAATAACATTACTCTCACTTACAATACAGTACAGTTTTGTCTACTCTACCTATCTATTCATGCCTAATTATCTGAAACTTGTTCGTGACCAGGGTGGAATATGATGCGTATCGCACTGACCTGGAGGAGTTGAACCTGGGGCCCCGTGATGCCACCACCATGCCCAAGATCGAGATGTCCCAGCAGCAGTTCCAAATCCACCGGGAAAAGTATGAAAAGATGAGGAACGATGTTTCCATCAAGCTCAGGTTTCTTGAGGAAAACAAGGTAAAATGTTGTAATGAAGCTTTTACAGGTGCACTATGTAATATTTTATGTTGGAGCGTCTGCCACATGCTTGTCTCCATGGAAATATTATTTCTTTGTATGGAATGTTTCACTGTATGGTATTAAACTTAATTTATGTGGCAATTCAATCACAGGTGATTTTATAGCTCAGTGTACTTTAAAAACATTTATTCTTACTCTGAGTAGGCTCGCCTCTCCATAGATATGATCTTTAACTTCAATAACGTCAATAACCTAATAATTATTTTCCCCATGGAGACAACCTGATGGAAGACCTTCAGCTACTTAGACCACTTTAAAGTTAACATAATATTGTGCTGAAATTATGATTGTGTGAAATAAAAATGTACCTGTGTAAGTTTGAATTAAGTGTAAAATAATTAATGTCTAACAATCAAGCAAACTATGGCAAATGAGAAATTCAGTTTGTCAACTGGATAAAAGTTTTTCAGTAAAATATGAAAAAAAAAAAAAAAAAAAAAAAACTTTTGTCCAGTTGACAAATTGAATTTCTCCTTTGTCATGAATTTTACCTGAACGACTGAGAGATTTTTCACAAATCAAGCAAATTTTCACAGGTAGTAGCAAGTACTGTATATTGCTGAAATATGATCTGGTATTGAGACCACCTCTTTTAGAAACCTTTTAAACAAAGCCTTTTAAATATTACATGAGCTTAAATAATGCATAAACTGTATGCAAACACAAAAAAGAAATGATCTCAAAATATAACATGAACTTGTATCTTGTATTGCAGGTGAAAGTATTGCACAATCAGCTCATCCTGTTTCACAACGCCATCGCTGCGTACTACGCTGGGAACCAACAGCAGCTGGAACAGACACTAAAGCAGTTCCACATCAAATTAAAAATGCCAGGAGGAGACAGCCCTTCGTGGCTAGAGGAGAGCCACTAAACCCTCAGTTTTGTTCCACAGGCTCAAAGTGGGGTTCATAGTCAACACAAACTACAGGAACTGCCACTTCTTCTTTCAACTTGATCTGCCTTTGAAACCTTTGAGAATTGTGAATGTTTTAAAGACAAAAACTCTCATACAATCCGTTATATTTACACATCAAGATCTTCAAATCATAGAAATGCACTTTTTGTACATTCTTTGTTTAAAAAAGAGATGCTGCAATTTGTAAACAAAATTGGAAACTGTAAATGGCATTTTTATTTTTCCAGCATATGAATGTCATTACCCAGCCTAACTGACATGTTGGCTCTTTACAGGCAGCTACAGGGTTCAAAAATGCTATTAAAGAGGGGGTATTTTTTTTAAGATTTCTACCATGTTTTCACGTGGTTCCCTCATCAAAAACAAGCCTGAAGAGGGTTTGAATGTCAACAATGCATGTTTGAGTAATATAGTGATCCCTCCCATGCCCTATTCAGCGCCCACAGTGGGGATGTAGTGGCAAAAACTATTATTGTGTCCTTTGGCAAGGCACTCACATAGCCTGGTATGAATGTGGCGTCTGCGTGAGTGTTGGTGGTCTAAAAGGAGTGACTTGGCATGCAGAGCAAAGGGAGACGTCTACAGCATTTTCAAAACAATAAAATGTAACCTGGTGATCTCAATATGTTATGTGTTAGCAGTTAATACCCCAAGAAGTAAAATACCCCCTCTTTAAAACCAATCATACAATCAAATATCATCTGATTCCAAAAACAGGGCTCTGAAGCTGATAAATGCAAAATTATTACAGATTTTTAAATAATTTTTAAATGTTTTGTGAATATATAGGACAATGACTGAATGCTAAAATTATGCTGTTTGTCTTGTATTCCAAAACAAAATGAAGGACCAGCCTTATGTGACTTAATGTGCCTTTATATCTAGAATTTCTTCCCCTCAAACATAGCCTGGCCAGCCATTCTAATTCATTTTGACTTCATCCAGATTAGATTATTCAGTTTTTTCCCCCTCATGTTGTTGTGTCTCATAAGAGTTTGATTTCAAATGACTAACTGGTTAAAACAAAATTGTCTGAAATGTTAAAATTAATATTCATTTTAAAAGCTTCCATTTCAAATAAGAAATACTGTCAGCCACAAGGTGTCAGTAAGGAAAACATGATTGGTATGGAGCTCAACAGTCAAGGCCTCTCCAGGTTCTGGATGCAAATTTCCTATTCATATTCCTCATATTTGAAAAATTCAAATGTAGTATTTGTTATATTTGAAAGCTTGCTGAGGGTTAACTAAACAACAAATTTACAGAATTTTCAGCAAAATGCTTCATAGTTTATAAAGTTTCAAAAACCTATTTAAAATAATTTGTGTTTGTTACCACATATCTGGGCAAGCATTCAAACTTTTAATATTCTTTTTTGAAAGTCCACAGGACAAATCAATAGAAAATGGTACTTCATGAAGTTATAATAGTTATAGACTATATAATAGAAGTCTATGGTTATAGTGCATTTAAAGGGCTCCATTTATTGACCCCATTATTACTAAATTGCTGATTAAAAGAAGTGGCTGGTTGGGCTATATTTCTGTTCTTTATGGACTTGAAGAAAACACCCACTTAACCAGTTTACAGGACCAACTCTTCAGACAGACCAAACACACATGTGCACAAAGTAAACAGCGTAACACTTCTGTACAAAACACTCCATGGATATTTATAAAATATATTAATCTTTACAAAGATATTTATCGTGATTGCACAGTTAAATATTTTTGCATCAAGACAAAATTTTAAAGAGTATAATGTGTGAACCAAAATACTGTTTTTGTATATGAGGAGACCAGCGTTCTTAGCCTGAGCTGCTAACATAGTTCTTACATTAGGCTAAAGTATATTTTCAAATACTGCATGGTGGTATTTTGTCAACACTTCTTAGCAGTTTGAGCGTGAAACTTGTGTAACAATCTGATGAATACTCTACTCTGAAATAGATGGATTTATATGATATATATATATATATATTTGTAAATTTGTCTGTACTTTCGATATGTAGACCAATGCTGCCATTTGGCCTTGTGTGTGTTTTCTGAATACAATGACATGCTAGTTCTAACTGGTATATCTTTTGCCTTTGTAATTATGCGGAGTCAAAAAAATATTTGAATGTTGTGTATTTTGCTGGGGGAAATAAAGGCTCCTTTTCTCTACCTTTAGCTAAACTTTTGTTTTGTTTTGAATGTGCGCCAGAGTAGACACTGGTTAAGTTTATAGTAGCTGAATGGAGTATAAAAATGGGGCATTTTTAGTAAATGGCTTTGTTTTGTGCTTTCTGCTTGTGTTTACATTGGGATTTCATAGATCCGTAATATGAGGAGATGTGTACAGTACGTTTGTTAGAAGTTTGTCTTTATCTGCTTGACTTGAATCCAGGTGTACGAAAACGCCTTGAAATTTTCATAGCGATAACAAAGCCACACCCACGTATGCTTAATCATTAGATAAACATACAGCAAGCATACAGGAAGGAACATCAGTGAATCATTGTGTGCTATGATATTGGACTCCATGTACCTATAAAACCACACTACTGTTGTCACGATTGAGACCATTGGTTCCACCCAAATTCATTATTTCTTATTAGGTCATACATAGTGAGTGGAAATTGTGGGGCATTTGTGTCTATTAGATTAATTAGACCTACTAAATAAATATTTGTTTAATCTAAAGCATGCAATGGTACTGTGAACTAATACTAGCAAAATAATTCATAACAGAAAAACAACATCTAGATTTAGCAAGTAGACTTAGACTTAGACAAACTTTAACTAGAAAAGCACTCAGAGAGCGCAGACCTCCGCCAAGGACTACCCCCATTTTTTATATAAATTGCGATAAAATCAGTCTTCTGGATCAGATCCGGATCAGCCTTTGGAATATGAAAGAGGATCCCATTGTCCATCCCTGAGTCAAATTTCATGGGGTTTGGTCAATAATTAACCGAGATATTGAGAAACAAAATTTTTGGCCCCATTTACCACAATGTAACTAAAATTTCAAAGTGATCCAGAATCCAGGATTTCTTCCGGATCACCCCCAAAATGAAATCTATTCTTCCTTTTCACATTTCCAACAAATCCTGAAAATTTCATCAAAATCGGTCCATAACTTTTTGAGTTATGTTGCTAACAGGCAAACAAACAAACAAACAAACAAACAGACAAACGCCGGCAAAAACATAACCTCCTTGGCGGAGGTAATGATCCACAAGGGAATTTTTTTAGACACAGTATAACTCACAAATCACAATATACAGACTGTTTATCAGCACATTTGTTTCAAAATAAATGTTTCACAAACCACTCAAGACATTAATACACAAAATATAAATTCACACATGTATTTGTTACATTTGAATTAAAACACTCAAGTCAATTTGACATTTAAAGGTGCACTGTGGGATTTTTTTGGTGGAGGGTCCTCATCTTCTCCACAGGGATGTTGGCTTTGCTTGCAATGTCCCACAGTTGCAGCACTAAACTTGTCTGTCTCCATGGAAACAAGCAGGTGATGCCATTAGGCTAAGTTACATGTCAGAGCTGTGGAGAGCCTATCCTGGAAACTCACATCAAGAATGCAATCTTTTTAAGGAATAGTCAGCTTTATTTGAATAAATGCTAGATAAGTAGATCGATATGCTTTGTTGTACTAGCTACTAAAAGTGTGACCAGAGAAAGTAGTATGAGCAGGAGTTTTGGTGGTGGTCTGAGGGGCTGAAGGTGCAGACTGGCAGCCTCGTTTCTGCCAATCTGCCCCAGAGCAGCTCTGTGGTTACAATCGGGCCTACTAGCTTACCACCATGGAGTGACTGAATAATGGCGGTGCTTGGTATGTCTCGAAAGGCGCTATATTAATCCAATCTATGCATTTATCTTATTACGTGAGCGTCAGAAGTGCGCACCTGAGCCAATCAGCATTGAGCCTTGTCCCCCCGCCCTGTCCCCTCTCTGTCCTCCCTCCTCCCGGCCTCTGCGTCCCTCCCATGGTCCCCCCGCCTCCTCTGGCTCCTCTGCCTCCGCCTCTGCCCTCTCCCTCCGCTCTATTTGACTACTGCAGCCCCATTAGGACACCAGACCAGCCGCTCACCTGGGCAGCTCAAACCCATCTCACCCACACAGATTTTCTCCTCTGAAAAGTATCCCGCACTAACCCTAACGTTGTCGGAGCGGATTACGTTTCCCGACGAGCCGTGTCCTGTCATCCCCGAGGTAAGAGAGGCTGGACCGGGCTGGACGGTACCGCAGCATCTCGGTCACTGTGTGGTGCTGGGCTGGCTGCAGTGAGCTACTTCGGACTAAATGTGACTTTGCATGTTTCTTGGCAGTGCGTAGTCTGTTTGCTGGTTTTAAGATACAGGTGCTTGAAACGCATTATTGTGGAATTATTTTGAAGTTATTTGAGATCTAAATGAAATGACTTGTGTTTGCAATGTAAACAACAGCATCACAAATGTGCTTATCATAGTTCACTTCCATGATAAAGTTAAGCTAAATGCACTGACTAACAGCATAGAGTGCAAAAATAACCTGGCCTAGAAATGTTTTATTTTTAACTATTTAGACTAGGCCTACTGCTGCAGTTTCATGCTTTACATTTAGAATACTGATGGGGTTGTACCATAATCATATTCTCTAGTCTGTTTACATTGGCCTAACAGGATGTAGCCTAGTTATAATGGGTTACTAAGCATTTAGGTAAAAATAGCCTATTTTTTAATAACTAACAGCCTACTATAATAATGGATTTTGTATTAAATTTGATTAGATCTATATCAGGCTATTTCAAAACAATAAACCTTGATTCTTGTAGCATGAGACTCCTCCTATTTAAAGGTGGTAGTACTCAGTTAGTACTTATATTTACTTGAGTAATTTTTTTGAAGAAATTGTATTGTTTAGTATAGTTTTCTGGCAGCATACATTTACTCCTACTTGAGTAATATTTTTATTGAAGTAACACTACTCTTACTTGAGTAAACCTTTTGGTTAATCTTCCCACTATGAGTAGTGACAAAATCTTAATGTTGACAATATTAAATGATTTGAACATTAGTGTTTTTGTCCTTGTTTTTTGTTTTGTATTCTTTGAAAATACCAGATTTTCTGCATCACTTAATGTTTTGTCCTTCCAATTGTATTAACTTCAAATTATAAGTAAGATATTACATCCCAACAGTTGCTCCTTTAAGTTCTTTTGCTTGAGTAATCGTTTTTTCAAATACTTTTTTACTCTTGAGTAATTTCTTGGACCACTACTTTGTACTTCTTCTTCTTGTACTTGGCTACTCTAAGCACCATTGCATTCAGCTCACCAGTAACTGTAACATCAGCTTCAAATCACAGTGACCAGTAGCAAAGTATAGCCTCTTGCTTAAAGGTGCACTGTGCAACTTGTCTGTCTCCATAGAGATGTTATTTCTGGAATGTTCCATTGTAAGACATTAAACTTATTATCTCCATGGTGAAGAACAAGTGACCAGGCTAAGTAACATGTGAGATCTATGGCGAGGTGACCCTGCTTTGAAATTAAAGATAGATAGATTTATTTTACATTGGAACATTACATTACAGTGGAACATTTCAAGCAATAACTCTCCAACCATCAGCAGAAAATAACAAAGTTCATAGAATGTGAATTTCAATATTAAATCATAGTACTTTCTTTCATATTATATTATTATATTATTATTATATGTGGTGTTATATTTCTGTCCATTCAAGTATATTCCATAGAGGTCCATGGGTTTATAGTCTATGTCGTCTTATATTTGTTATGATACAGCTCAAGATCATTACTGCTATTCTGTTATCTGACTTTTTTAACATTCATACCTGCTCAAATGAGCATCTAGTTTTGATACTAGTTTCAGTATTGTTTAGTATCTGATTTTCAAAACATTTGACAACCCTACTAGCTATTTTCTTGCCACCAGACTTTATTTTCTGTGAAGTCGCCCAGCTGTTGTTGTCATTGTAAAGTACTGACAGTAATTCCACCCCCAACCACCGCTATTTATCTGAACACATTTTAACTTTATAACTGTGATTCGGGTGGTTTTGTTGCACTTCTCTTAGACTTTGCTTCCTTGGCTTTTGTGCACTGCTCCTGACGTCCAGATGAATTAGAGGGTCATCCATTCAAAGTGACTGGAACAATAGCACGTTAGAAAGGGGCTTGTCCCGGCTGGGTCAGGGGGAGGGGGGGGCACTGTTACACGGTTGCCGTGGTGTCTTGTAGTTAACATGGAAAACTCAGTGTTCTGACGTCACCCCAATGGAGAAGATATTGGGAAGACCTGATTTATTTGTGTGGGAGGCGGTCAGGGCTGAATACTGTTTGGCGACTCATGAGCAAGTCAAGTGGTCTTTATTGTGAGTTGGTCCTGGATGAGATTTTGAGTAGGACTACACAAGGCATGTGTATTTTTTCTTTAATTTAACTGAACTGTGCCAAAGAGTATATTAAAATATCACATTAATATTGTTATTGCAATGCACATTATATATGTCAGATATCGTATCTTTTAATAGCCTTCAGAAAATTGCACTGCGCTCTCCTGAAAGGTTCTGATATCACAGGGACCGATACTGGAACCAGTATATTGCCCATCCTTACTCCCTATGTTAATTTGGCTCCTTTGGGTGCTCCAGTTTACCCCGTCAATCTATTACATACAAACTCAAATAGGCAGCTAATCCTTCAGCTCCAAGCATTATAGTTTCTGATTGAGATCTTGGCTGAAGATCTGGAGATGGGTCCCCGGGGGCTGCATTGCGGCCACCCACTGCTCCTGGCAGGTTGCCTCAGCAGCTCTTGTTGAAAGATGGGTCAAATGCAGCAAATTTCCTTACACAGTCGACACAAATGCTGTGTTTTGAGTATTTAGCCTCATTGCGTAAAACCAAGGTAAGCAGTAACATGCTTACTTTACCTTGTTATTCTTATATATTGCTACATTTCTGAGTCACAGGTATTCACATACAAAAACAATGTGGCTTTACTTTGATGTGAGTGATAATAATTTGTTAAGTTGTACTTGCTTTGCATCGTAGCTTCAGTTGCTCTTTGTTTATAACATTGGATATTTTTATTTTTTTATTGACCTTTATTTATAGTTCCGCTAAGATTAAGAATCTCTTTTTCAGGGGAGTCCTGGCCCCGGGGACCCTATTTTATATGTTTTTTGGTAGATAAAACCATAGCAGAGAATCCTACGCAAACGACTTTCAAAATCCACACCTCCCCAAAATTGAACTCGGGACCTTCGTGGTCACATTTTTATACAGCGCTTTTCCACCTTCAAGGCAAGGCAAGGCAAGTGCTTTTTACAAGAAGGAACCAGTCACCCATTCAAACACACATTACACCAGTGTCCACATACACTTCGAACCACCAACCTTCAAATCAGTGGATAAACGCTCTACCATCTGAGCTACTGCCGTCCCCAGTCCCCTGTTCTTGCTGTGACACCAGAGCGCCAACATGCCAATAATGACATCAGCCAAACAGCCAAATTCAAATTATTGACTAGATAAAATGTAGTTATTATGTGGGTGTTATTGATGCCTCTTGGCCAGGATGTCTTGAAAAATAGATCTTTAGAATGTCATTGGGACTTTCCTGGTTAAATTTAAAAAAAGGCCAGTGAGTCACAAAAATCAGATCAAGTTCTTCATAAAACATATTTTCATTGTAGTAATTGCAGCCTGAATTGCCTCATCTTAGTGACACAGCAGGTGCATTTCTTCTCTACCTCTCACAATAGGTCCATTACTTTAATTGAATGTTACATCTGACAACCTTCTGACCAGTGATGTAAAACTATTACTTTTTAACCAAGTCCACAATAACATATTGTTGTTTTTTTGTTTGAACTGTAACGTGACCCCTGACTGTAAACAGGCAGGAAGTGGGGTTTTGCAGGTCTAGCACTCTATTCTAATGAGACTTACAGTGCCATGGTGCCCTTGGGCAAACACTGGGAGGTAAACAAGTTTGCATTCCTTGTCTCCCAGCTGTTGTTTCTATGGCCACCTGAACACCTGTCTTAATTGTCCCCTGTGTGTATATAAGTGCAGATAGCCCTCACTTTACCTGGCTCTGCCAGTGCAGCTGTAAACCATCTGTAACGTGAGCACAAAGCTTCATTGATCTGACTTAAGCCCACAGGTGGATAGCACACATTACATTCACTTTGTAATAGGGCCATTAAGAGAACCTACTATCATCTTATGATGGTAATAACTTGTGATTTATTCTTATCTTCTTTTTGATTAAGAAGGAAGGGCCTGTAGTATAAATCTCGCCTCTACATTTGATGAATTTAGCATACATGGCTTGTTTTAAGTTGAGCAATGGGTCAATTAGCCAAACCCAATTTTTATCCGTTATTTTATTGTAGTTATTTTATTGTAGTTATTTTATTGGATTTATATGAAGAAGCAGTCAAATGTCAAATATAAATTTAATCCACCTTTTGACATGAAGACTACAGTCCACATCTGTCTGTAATAAGGATGCATTTGACTCTCATAGCACTTTTTGAAGGTCTCTTTACTATTGTTTGCATTATTTGTTCAGCTCAGTGGTGGTAAGCTACTGCTGTTGCCACAGCTGTCCAGGGCTGGCAGTGAACCCTCTGACCAGCACCAAATACTCACTCATTCCCCACTCCCTTATTTTAAGAAAGTTAATTTTTTCCCCTGTGCAGTGCAGATTTTGCCCCTCTGTACCTGTCTGTCATCTCCTGTCTCCACTCTTAGCAGATGGGAGAAGTGGAGGGGGCATTAGCGTGAAGCCTCTCTTTGGCTGGGGCTTCTCATGTTGCGGGGACCACAACTGGAGACTGGTGCCTGAGTAGAGGCAGACCTGGAGCTGCTGCAGGCTAGACACTGATCACCTGAGAACAAGGACCCAAAGAGCAGAGCGTCTGCAGTCCTGGTTTGATCCACACCAGCCCCACGCTGTCCAGACTTCTGTGTTACCTCACCCCAGTGGCTTTTGTTTCACCCATTCAACCTTCCACCTCTTTGTATTTTTTATTAGCAGCTCTGTGACAGAATAGACTTTTTATAGTGTATTATTGTGGTGAGGCTAGATAGTGCTATTGACTGGGATAACAATGCAGACTTGTAGAACAACATGGGGAATTCACAGAAATGAGTTTACCTCTCACGCAGGGATGGGTCATATGCAAAAAAGAAATCAT